CCTCATTTGGGGGATAAGGATGCTCTGATGTAGTGGTTTTTTTTGGTGGCATGTTTTTTTGTTTAGATTTTTTTTCATTATATATTAATATTTATATCTAAAATATGTTTGGATATGAGAAATAGACTCTCAGAAAGCCATGTTTTCTGAATGGGGTGCTATAAAATCATCTTCCAGAGTTTTGCTCAGGCTTCTGGTATCTTGGATTTGGTCTTGAGCATTATGTTGATGTTCTCCCTGGAAAATAACCAAATGAAGTGTCAAAGTAGATTTGACATCATGAGTTGCTAGAGTTGCTGGGATTTAGTATGTATTAGGATGCAGGGGGAACCAAACTGTATGATGTGTTAAAGAAACAAAATCCAAACTACTGAGTTTGTTTGTTACAAGTTTTGAAATAAGTTGAACTTAAAGGTAGCGACTTGAAAGGTATTGTGCTTTTGTAAGGGGGCACTGGAGAGGTGTCTAGAGGTGTCTGTGTGTCAGTATTGCCAATGGGTACATTAAAATAATCCTAGCAAGCTTTCCTTACTCCTCGGAGCTAAGGATCAGCAGATGAATGAATGGGAAGCACAGCTCACCTCTGGCTGGGGTTCCATCACACAGGGACTCCTCGACCAAGCCTCCTGCGTGCTCCTCTGCAGCAGTGTGTTGTCTCTGCTCTGGTGCTCATGTGGTCTCTTGTACAAGTGTGCTCTAAAACATACGAGCAAATTAATTTGGGGTTTGGAAAAATCCAAACAAAGAAATAGGCACAGCCCTCTGGTCTTAATGGGCAATGTGGAACCACAGTGTAATTAGGAGTTATGTTGGCATAACCACGGGGGCAGCAAAGTGGAGTGACTGGAAGGAAAAGGGAGACCAGGAAATCCTCAAGCTAGAGCTGCTGCCAGAGCCTTTGTAATGGCCTTGGTGACTAATTCTGCTATTTAACCTTGAGCAAACAGTGGAGCTGAGAACAAATTCCTTGAGCTGTGGCTCAGCCTGCTGATCTGCCATGTCACTTTGCTTTCTTCTGTTGAAGTGGTCCTTGTTAGAGAAACATCAGTTGGTCTGTGCTGGTTGGCCATAAGTCATGTCTGTGAATATGTGTTGTGTCCAAAGGCAGAGGAAGTATTTGTCTCTAAGCATATCACCTACTAACAAGTGAGAGCTATTTCTGTCCCATTTGTCTTTTTTCTGTTTCTGAAGGATTAATGTAGATTATATGATTTATACAGAAGGTATTATTTCTCCACAGGTGGTTATTTCACATCTTTTTGCATCAGTGTTCAACTTGGATTTGTGTAGTTGTGCTTCACAACTACTATAATATCCCCCACATGTTGTTATCTCATGGCCTTTAGACTTTCATGCTGCATTTCATAGATACCTTCCGGGGTGGCTAATCTTGAAGTTGTACATAAACTGTTATTGTGAAACTACTGCCAACAATTAAGGCTCATGCAATGTGAGTTAAAGTTGTACTTTTAAAATTTTGAGACCTCTGTGTTAGCTGGGATTTGGCATTGGGGTTAGGTTAGGTAAAGTGGAAGAATGGCATTGCTTTTCTTCCAAGCTTCAGAATGAATATTAAAATGCTGAGACTGGAAGGAGAAAACGAAGGATGTATAATCAAATTGTTTCTGCAAGATCTTAACCACTGTCCTTAGCAGCTTCCTTTGCTTAGTTCAGATATTTCTAGTGAAGTGGCATTGTTAGTGAAAGGTGATATAAAAACCTCTGGGAAGACAGAGAAGATAATGTTTGAAATGACACAAAGTGATTTAATAAGTGGCGTTGCATTGTCATTTGGAGAGGAACCCATTTCTTTCAGCTGATTGTTTTAAGATGCAGCCTTGGCTGTGCCCTGCTGAGCAAAGCAGCAGCCTGCTTATAATTTTCAGCATAATGGCATTCATCTATTCAAGCCAGAAATTAGATTACACAGAATAATATTTTCATAAAGTCTGCACCAGCTGAGCTCTCTGATGGTTTTGGATAAAAATATCAAAAAAAAGCAGACTTCTTTAACAGTTGCCCAATGTAGGATTTGTGTTTATTTGCATTGATGAAGATAGTTAAGCCAGTGGGTTACCCCTTCAGTTACTATAATAGGTGTTGTAGGCAAATGTCTCTACAGCCAGTGCTGTGTTAGCACTTCAGTGCTAGGGGCATATTCAAAATAAGGTTATAATTGTCCAGGAGTGTTTAAAAACTACATTGCTGAAGTTCTGGGATGCCATTTCCCAACTGACTTCTTCAGATACAGTGTGAGAAACTGAGTGTTTCAGCCCTGTGTATTTAAAGCCAGACTTGTGAAGGGGAGCGGAGGTGAGAGCAGGGGCTTGCTGTTGGGTAGCAACAGGTTGTCAGTGAAGGCAGGATCACACCTCCTCTCACAGCAGCAAAGAACTTGCTATGTTTGAGGTTGGTGGCTCTGTTTTGTCCCTTGCTATGATCTACGGTTGTTCAGAGCTGTATGTAAGACCCCAGTTGAATTCTTTGCATAGTTCTGCATAGTATTTACATTTTTATAACTTTATAAAGGGGAACTTCTAAAATTATATACCTGTTGTTTTACACAGATTCTAGGTCAGTATGTTCATCCAGAATCCTCCTTCTTTTCCTCGGTTAAGTGCTGTTGTAAAATTAATATATGCATAAAAAAATGAGGAACTGATTGTTCTAAGTTAGCAGGATGTTCTTGTTTTGTTCTGCTTGGACTACACTATCATTACAGGTTGCTTAAAAGGTTTAGAGACCAATAGGTGTAGCTCAGAGAAGGATGCAAGTGAAGAAACTTTGTTCACAGAGTAAGCATTTTGTCTGTTTGTTTCTGTTAGCTGAGCAAACGTGAATGGAGCACTGTCTGTCATTCAAGTGTGTGAAGTATCTCTGCCTGCATTTTGGGTCTCAACTGTGCTCACTGATTTACCTGACTGAAGCTTTGCACTGTTTATAGTCCAAGTGCACAGGGTAAATGGTTGACCTAAATGATCTCAGGGAACTCATAGAAAGCAGAAGCAACCATAATGTTCAGTGACATAGCTTTGCTCTACGTGAAGGTCAGAAACCTCTGGATACAGGCTCCAGCTGATTAAAGGTGGAGTTTTTCACTCCTAGAACTGTTGAAGTTTGGAAGCAAACTTAATGGTATCTTTCGCAAGGGCCTCTGTTTTTATAATTGCAAATAACAGCAGAAATTGTGCTAGCAGAAGGCTTTTAAACCTTGAATCTAAAGAATGTAAACCTTTTAAAATGCTCTCTGTTGGGTTTGGGAAGTGTAATGTTGATACACACCAGCACAAGGATAATCTTCCATCCTTTGCTTAGGAAACCAACATGTCTCTAGGCAGCACTTGGTGTGACCTGCAGCATGGGCATGGATAAAGAAATCCTTGTACTGAAGAAAAGGAAGAGGAAATTTTTTTCTTCCAAAATAGTCTCAAGTGAAAAAGGAGCAACAATGTTTTTCAGAAATGTTTATTATGAATATTAATATTATGATTATTTAATTAGAACAAAATTGTAGATATTGCACATTAAAAGAGAAGTTCCTTCCTATCCATGAGAAAGATGTTACTGAGTACAAAGGCAGCAGCATCTCTGGTGTGTGTGATATTAAAGGAAGTTGCATTGAAGACTTGCAGGTCAGATCCAGCTCAGGACTTTTTGTTCCTGGCAGCCTGATGCCTTTATGGTGTCTAGGCAGGCGAGGAAGTTATAGCTGCACTGAGTGGGAGTGGGTGCTTTCAAACTAGGAGGAAAGAGGAGCAGGGACAGTCTGTGTCCGTGCGTCCCTGCTGGTTGTCATGTTGCATCAATTACTGTATTTCTGTAAAGAGTGCCACCCTGTGCTGACTGGCCACTGTCATCATTTTGTTAAATCGTAACTATCCCCTAAATGGCTTATTCTACCTTTCCCCTGCAACCTTTCACTAGCTTATTTCCTAAACAGGCAGAAACAGGAGAGATGTGCCAATACATCACTGGTCTGACCTGTTGCAGGTCTATGTCGGTCTTCCTGACACAGTTAATTGTCCACTTTTTTGTTTGAATCCCTTCACCGTGCTGCAGATGAAGCTTGCTGCTGAACCAGCCCCAAACCAGCAGTGTCTGGGGCAGGTGAAAAGTTGTTTTGGTATATTTAAGCCATTTGCCCTGCCATAACTGCTGGCAGTGTAAGCCAGTGTAAGTGTTGTTCAGCTTCTGTCTGCAGTCGAGCCCTGAATATTTACACATGGGGACTGAGTCTGTGGTACCCCACCTTTGGGAGGTTCCCAACCAAAAAGTTTATTTTTAATATGAACAGTACGAGAACGTGACCACTGTGAGTGTGTGTTGGTGTGCTTCTGAGGTGTGCCACAAATTGTCTATGTGTATAAAAAGAAGTTTACTGATGTTGGTGGTAGTATACTAAATTTTCTTTTTGACAAACACGCATTTTGCGTTAAAAGCAAATGAAACTCCTCCTTCCAGCAGTGCAACCTCTCTTTCTGGATGTCCCAGTTTCAGTTGCTCATATTTTTTTGTCTGAAAAATTCTCTCTAGGCTGAAACATCCTCCGTGTCTGAGGCAAATATTTTAGAAAATATAATCCAATCAGGGAAAAACTAACAATTGCGTCTGCTTTCATATGGAACTGAAGATCTTCCTGGCCAATACCGCCTGTATTTCCCAAAGTCATTAGCTTGTTTCCACTTATTTTTTTGTTGGTAACTAAAAACTTCAGCTAATTAAAAAAGCCTAGAGCCTTTTCAAGTACCTCTCAAGTCAGAAACTACGATAGATCAGCTAGTTTCTGGGTTAACATGTAACAACTGAAATAGTACAGAGTTTATAGCTAGGAATTCAAAGCAAAATACTTTTCTTTTGGAATAACCATAGTTGCATATTTTATATTGGCCTCTTACTTGGCTTGAAAACTTTTAAATCTTGAATAATAGTTAAATTTCAAGTCAAATATTTTAAAAAGTTTTTGTTTTGTTTTGTTTTTCTTGCTTCCTGCCCTGCTTCAGACCGGAGGAGACCAACAGAAGAGTGAAAAATGTAAGATATGTACCTCAGTGCTTTCTGAAGCAAGTTCATGCTGACTGTGACTAAATATTTTTAAAACACTTCTTTTTATTGCACTATCATGTTAACCTTCAGCTGTTCATTTATCTGATACAATTTACTGCTATCTTAGGATTGTCTTTATGCTGTTTACTTTCCCAAATAAATGTAATAATTGGAAACAAGACGTATACCTGCTTGCTTGAGATGCAGGAGATGCATCATAACACTCTTTAATTGGTTTTGATGGAGATCTAAGCTAATACTGTAACCAAGATTTTACAACTCACTGTGCAAAAAATCTTTTAACAGCATGTTGAGATTCTTTTATACTGGCATATGGTACAAGAGGGAAGTAATTAAGCTTATATTTGGGTTTTTTTTGTTTATTTGGTTTTAGGTTTTGATTACATTATACTGGCTTGGGAGAAAAGCTCAAAGTAACCCTCATTATAATGGTCCATACCTCAATCTTAAAGCATTTGAGAAGTTACTAGGGCAAGCGTTGACTAAGGTAAGGAATTGAAAATAAATAAATAAATAGCACAAATTTTAAAGTTCGGTATGCATTACAGCATCAACTCTCAACAATTTCTTGGGGGTTTAGTTTTAGTCTTAGTTTGGACAACATAGCCCTTTGATTTGGCTTGCTCTCAAAGTCCATGTGAAAAGAAGTACTTTAGCTTGCACTGCTTCTTCTGCTATCCATATAATCCCACGATTCAGAGTCCACATGATCTGATTGATGTACTAGGTTGTGAAGAGGCCACTCTTGCTACCCTTTGGCTAAGATAAGAGAAATCTAAGACCTTGTGCTGAATCTTCTATTCAAGCTGTTGTTTTTAGGGCTTTGAAAGAGTCATTGTTAAAGTTTGTGCACTCAAAATGCATTTTTAAAATTTTAAGTGAAAACTCAATAATAGCATTTGCATCTTAAATTCTTGTAAAAGACCTTTCAAAACTTACTCTTACAGGCACTTGAAGAGTCTAGCCACCTGAACAGAAGTGGCAGGGATAGCGGGTACGGTGATATTTGGTACGTTGACCGGGGAGAGCCCTTTCCATCTTCAGCTAGCCATAAAAGAGACGATTCCTTCGATAGCTTGGACTCTCTTGGTTCAAGATCTTCCACAAGCTTTTCATCAGATATAACCTTGAAAGGTGGCAGTGAAGGTATGTTTTCCTCTCTTAAAACTTTTGCTGATGTATGTATTTAAAATGTGGGAGAAGACAGTGTATGTACCTAGTATTTCAGGCACTTAAATTGGCTTGAAAGGCAACTTTAGTTTTGCAACTGCTGCAGTTGCGTCCTGCTTCAGCAAATATTGACCTTTAACAGTTGTTAGAAACAAAACAATGATTGCATAACTTCTCCTAGGAAGGGTTGCTGGGACTGTTGCTCTCACTGCCATGTTAGTGTGTGTGAACGTGCAGGATATTCACCCATAGTTCAGGAAGGGAACTTGTAGTATAGGGTGAAGTTATAAAAATAGTGAGCTTTTGGATTTGTTACATGTGAATGATGCAAAATCATTGGTCTGAAGCCACACAGAAGAATTCTGATCTGAGGAAAGCATGTAGACATGCTGTATGTGTGAAGTACCTGGGCTTCTACTGGGCGTTATTCTGGTGAGATGAGCATGTTGCCATGCTATTTGGTGGTAGCTTGTCTTTGTTAGTAAATTTGAGTGTCAAGTATGTTTAATTAAACTTTTGTACTGCTTTATGTCTAGAGGTTAGCACTTTGTTTCCTGCAGGGAGCAGTGATAGTGAAAGAACGGAACAAATGTAGCAGGGGCTACATTCAGCTTAATGGATCTTATCACAGCTTTGCCACAAACCTCTAGAAATACCTCTCCTATTGTCCTGTCAGCAAATTTACAGTCAAGACATCCTAAATGTGGAGTTAAATAGATTTTAGGTTTTAGTCAATGTTCTAGCCAGAAACTGGTGTCTAGAGAATAATGTTTGTGCCTTCCCTTTTTACTCCTTTCTTCTAAGGTTGTGACAGTGACACAGACTCAGAACTGCCTTTCAAAATGCATGACTCCCATAAAGATGATAGGTCTTACCGTAGGATTTCTGTGATTGAACCGAAGCCTACCACTGATTTCAATCGCTTCTTACCCAACAAAAACAAGCAGACGGCCTATGTGCCAGCACCTCTAAGGAAGAAGAGGACGGAGAAGAATGAGGACAACAGGAGGAGCTGGGCAAGTCCTGTCTTCACTGACTCGGATGGAACATTTTCAAGGTACTGGTGTGCTGTCTTAGTAAAGCAGACTTTAAGACTTTTAAAATAAGTGATTTATTTATTAGATAAAGAAAAGCTAGTGTTGCTGAAATACAAAGTAAAGTGTTAAGAGTTTTCATGTTTTAACAGGGGAGATGTTTTGGTGTGGTGGTATGGTTGGTGTTTTGTTCGTTTGGTTTGGTTTGTGGTGTTTTTTTTCTTACTGAAGTAGTTTTCTGACATTTAAGTAATGTTTTGAGGCTGATCAGAATCTAGATAGAGGGGATTTTAATGCTTTTAAATGCAAGTTCATGAGAGGTAGTTTTGGTTTCTCATTAAAGTCTTCCAAAATACACTGATGAACTTCAGTTGTCCATCTTCTTGGTACATAGAGATGAGATTAGTGGGCAGTTTTGGGTTTCATCATTGCCTTCGTGACTTCACTGTCTTCATTCTGTTCCTGTTTTGATCAACCTCAGTGGACATGAAAGGAATCCTGTAGCCTCCTGCCAAAGTAGCAGAGCAGAGTGTGGGCTCACAGATCCAGCTTCCCTCCAGATGATCTATGAGTATGACAGTGGCTCTGATTCAGAAGATGAAAGAAGGCTGCCCGACCTGGTTATGGATGACTTAGCAAATCGTAGATTTCTAGTCAAAAAGAGCCCTGTAAGCTCTGCTACACCTGGACATCATTTCATGTTGCGCAATGACTCTCCTAAATCTTGCTCGCAAGAAAGTTATCCAGCTGGTCCACTAGCTGCAATGCTTGAACCACTGAGGTCAGAGATACTAATCCAAGATCCAGTAACTGTTGCATTATCTAAATTGCAGTCCATAATAACTCCATAAAGTTAGCCTTCTAATTGAATTGGCATTTTAACAGAGCTGATAATTTGTTATGGCTTTTCTGTCAAATTTCATATTTTTGTCAGAGGCAATAGGATGCTGATGTAACCATTTAATTTTTTTTAATTTTTTTTTAATATATCTTACTATTTCTGGTGCTGCAGTGGAACTGAAAACTAATTTGCTTCATTCATGAGGTTGAACTCCTGGGCCAAAAAGCATGTCTCTTTGCATTCTTTATGTCAAGTTGCTCCTGAAATATCTTAACTGATTGGGTATTTTGCACAGTAACCAGAGGAGGCAGAGGCAGTTGGCTACTAAAGAGGAAAACAAACCAAGAGCTAACATTCCTTCAGAATTATCTGGGTATTTTGATGAGGACGAGGATGAAGAAATAGGCATCCCAAACATCGAGAAAGATGATCTCTATTTTCGCAAGCTAAGTTCTTCAGCAGCAAACACAGTTGTTGCTTTTGACAAATTTCTTCCTAAGTTTTGGACTCCAGAAGAGGAATTGCTGTGGAAAAAAATCAGAAAGTCCTCTTTCAAACCCTGGTATAAAGAGATTCAAGGGTTCAGGTGCGTTTTCATGCATGCCCCTGTTTCTCTCCTGTGTGCAAAACCTATAAATAAAGCGTAGTTGTATGACTTGATTTTTATTTTTAATTTTTATTGCTGGTGTAGCAGCAGGATTTGTTTTCTCCTTTACTTTTCTTCCTTCTTTTCTTTTTTTGAGAATAATTGAAACATTATTTTCATTACTGTTGCACAGTTGCCACTGTGCATTTTACTCATGAGTACACTTTATGTTTATTTTTCTTTCCCTCTGCTCATTCTTTGTGCTGGTACACAGTAGAAAGAAATCAGATTCTGAGGAGGATTTTGCTTACAAACAAAGCTCTGCCATTGTTGCTAGTCACCCAAGACCAAGTTTTGACTGGAACAGCAGTTGCAGAAGAGATCAGAACTATAAGCCAACTGCTGACTATGTGGGAAGCTCGTTGTCACAGATTGCAGAAGGAAAAATCTTGGAAGCTCCTGATCAGCCCAGGTTGATATTGCTGCATGAACTGCACTCTTGCTGCATCAAAAAGAAATGGCTGGATATGCAACAGCTGAATGAAATTAAACCACGTCCTGTGATGTTGTGCTTTTGGGGTTATTACTTTTTTTTTTAATGTATCCATAAGTTGCTGGTCTTCTTGAAGATGTAAATGCAAAAGTGTAACATGCTGCATAGGGTTACTGGCTTTGTGTGTGAGCATGTAAGCGTGCTGTGTCTGAGCAGGTTAGTATGCCATGATACCTTTACGTTGGTTGACATGTGCTGTGCTACGGTTAGTGGTGGTGAATGCCAAGTGGTTTAGTTGTACTGCTTGGGATGCTGCAAATCTAAACCAAATGTATATCAGGTACATTGTGATCTGCTTTTCTCTTGCTACTTAATGATATTTTCACTTCCCTCCTTTTGTTTTATATGCTTCAGTCAGTTTTCATTACTTCAGGCTCTGCAAAAATACTCTGACTACTTGTCTTCTGAAACGAAGACCAAAATAGATCCTACTTCTGGCCCTAGGCTCATAAAATGTAGAAAGAATATTTCCTTTATACCAGGAAGCAATCAAGGAGATGGGGAAAACAGGTATCTGTATCCAGATTTGGAAAACGATGACTTTTTCATTCGGAAAACTGGGGCTTTCCATGTGAATCAAGTTGTTCTCCAAGACCCCCGATATTTAAAAAACTTCTCTGAGCAGGAGCCTCCCATAGAGGGTGAGATAATTCTGCAACCCAGAGAGGGCCAACCTGTGATTCCAGATTTGGAGAAGGATGACATGATTCTCCGTAAAATCCTCTCTCAGAGGAAAGAGGTGCCTTTATCAGGTGCTCCAGACAAGTATCACCCAGCACTCTTTCCTGATCCATGGAGTCTTCCGGAGGAGATACGGTCCAAATTCCTGTGTTTACTTGAAAAAGACACTACACCAGAGGAAAGGAAGAGCAATGGCAGAGTGCTGTCACCATCTTCCCGCCATAAGAAGGATGATATGCTGACCCGCAAGTTAGAATCTTGGAAGGTGGGAAGCAACGCCCAGCCAGTAAATTTCATCCCTGGTCCGTGCAGTGAAGAAGACTGGAAGAAGTGGGAAGCAATCAGGGAGGCCAGCAAAGTTAGACACAAGAAACGGCAGATGGTGGAGAGGTCAGGTTGTGTCCTGCACGGATTGTGCTTGAATGCAGCTGAACCCTTTCCGTTCAGAAAAGCATCGTCTTGTGCTGAGCCATTCATAGAGTGCCGGTCTGCTATTTGTTCGTGGTGTCCTGGACAAGCTTGTTATTTGCTTTGAATAGAAGCTCCTGACTGCAATACCATATTTTCAACAAAAAATTAACACTGTTTCCTAGTTGTAGGCTGCTATTTTAGAGAAAATATGTTAGTGTTCCTTCAGGCTTAAAGTTCTGCATAAGTTTCTTTCCATGGTTGAACATGAATAGTGATTATTCAAAAGACTGTGGAGGCTAGAAATATTTTCCTTTTTCTCCCCCATATAACTGATAAAAACACTTCTGAAAGACATGAATGCTTTGACAACAAATTCTGGAAATGGGCATTCTGATATTCTTGCTTGCACCTAAATTGAAAATGCTTGTAAACTGTTTTGCCACAGTTCTGAGATAATTAGATGAGATGAAAAAAAAAATCAGTAGTATTTTGAACACTCTAAGTCAAGGTGCATGCAAATTGTGTGTCCATGTAATATTAAATTCCACTGTTACGTATTTTGTTCTTCAAGTGTTTCTCCCCTGCTCTTATACAGTCCTGAACAATACTTTCCCCTAATCCTTTCCTGATACACACAAAATTTCTCTGACTGAATACTGGTTTTAACTAGTTCCTAGCTGTCTTTTGAATTTTGTCCTTACTGGGGGAGAGTGGGATTTTGCCTATTTGCTTAGCTCTGAAAATACGGCATTGCAAGTTGCAGTTCTTCCAGCTGTGCATCATTACTTTGTGACTAAGACACTTTCATGTTCCAGTTGATATTTAATGTTGCTGTGTTTTGTTTTTAAGCTTAATACTGTTAACAAAGTGTGAGCTTCATAGAGGAATATTTCTGAAGTGCTTGAAAATATTCTGCTTTTTAAGAATTCATTCAATAGAATAAAATACTCATATTCAAGACTACTGAAAATCTGCTTGAATCACACCGGATTAATTTGGTTTTCCATTTAATATGCTAAACTTCTAAATAGGACCTTTTATTCTTATCTATTCCAAGTATTAGTTTCATTTAGTATCAGAAATGGTTGAAGTAACAAGAAAAAAACCTCTGTAAGCCTTGCTGGGATTCAAGTTAGTGCTAATTTTCATTTTGCTTCTCAGCAGCCCTGGAGTAAGTGGTGCAGAATTAATACAAGGCTCTATCAGTGCAGTATTGCTAAATCGGAACAGTTGAGAACTTGTAGGCAACCTTGTTCTGTCAGTTTTCTGTCTGACTTAAACATCATGCAAGTCCCAATCTGTCATTTGACTAGTTTCAGATCGCTGATGTGCTGTTCCATGCTGACTGGTCCCCAGGCTTTCAGTTTCCCCTTCACTAAGTGAGAGTGCTGGTGTGCTTGTGGTGTTAATGTTATGAATATCAAGATACTGAATCTTTTCTTTTTTGGTTTCTGATTTCTCAGACTTTTTCAAAAGCTTTCTGATGAGCAAGGGTAAGTTTTCTACAAGCTTGAAAGATCATAATGCTACGTTTGCCTCTAGATTTTCGTGCATGCACAGTAGCTAAAAACTCATGCTGGAAAAAACTTGTGCATGCTGCTTTGTTGTTCTGTGCTAGGCAATTTATGTGACGAATGTAAGAGACTAAAAGCTATGTCAGAAGCTCTCTGGCATCTAGGGTATCAAAGTTTGGATTATCAGGCACTTTGAAAATCAGCTCTAGTATTTTATTTCTGCTGAAGTACTTAGAATCATAGAATCATAAAATAGGGTTGGAAAGGACCTTAAGATCATCTAGTTTCAACCCCCTTGCCATGGGCAGGGACACCTTACACTAAATCATATCACCCAAGGCCTCATCCAGCCTGGTCTTGAACACTGTCAGGGATGGGGCATTCACAACCTCCCTGGGCAACCCATTCCAGTGCCTCACCACCCTAACAGGAAAGAATTTCCTCCTTATATCCAATCTAAACTTCCCCGTTTAAGTTTTAACCCGTTACCCCTTGTCCTATCACTATAGTCCCTAATGAAGAGTCCCTCCTCAGCATCCCTATAGGCCCCCTTCAGATACTGGAAGGCTGCTATGAGGTCTCCATGCAGCCTTCTCTTCTCCAGGCTGAACAGCCCCAACTTTCTCAGCCTGTCTTCATATGGGAGGTGCTCCAGTCCCCTGATCATCCTTATGGTCCTCCTCTGGACTTATTTCAACTGTTCCATGTGCTTTTTATGTTGAAGACACCAGAACTGTACATAATAGAATGAGGTCTCACAAGAGCAGAGTAGAGGGGCAGGATCACCTCCTACTTGGTGTTCTCTGTTTATATCAGGCTTTAGAACATTCAGAAATGTAAAGGAAGATTAGTAAATATTTTATTTCAAAGGCTGTACAGGTATAATCTGAAAATAATTAATGACATGGTATTTATCATGTTGTTGATGAATGTTCTTTGGTTATTTTATATACTTAAGGTTATTTAATCCTCAGTGGTAAACTTACTGGTTAGTGCCATGTGAACTTAGACTTTGTTTGTGATGTACTGTGTCTCAAAGGGAATATTTTTCCACTTACTGTGTCATGGCATGTTAAGTATTTGGTTCTGCATGTTTTATTTATTTATTTTTTTTAGTGTACATTTATTTATCTACTTATTTAATTTTACCCTGAGGCAAAACCTGGTAAATGACTAAACACTTCTAGAAGAAGCAAGAAACATTTTGGAAGAAGTTAGGTGTTAGGGGAAGGAGACACAGAAGGCTCAAGTCACTAGTTAGATTTTTGAAGTTAAAGCTAGAATTGAAACTAACATCCTGTTCCTTGGTATGAAAGGGCATATTGTATTTAGGACTAGATTGTCCTATTTTGTTACAGGCAGAGGTAGAAACTCAAGAGAAAGAAAAGGAAACCCTAGACATGTAATGTAAGTTTTCTTGAACTCCTGGGGAACAATTTTGACACTTATGTACTGTTCAGTTACCCAAAACTGTTTCTAGATGTGATACAACTTAAGAAATAAAATAAATAAATAAAAAAAAAGAACTGTACAAGAAAAGAGTTTCTGCAATAGTGACCAGGAGATCTGTCTTAAATTTGGCATTCTTCCCATTCAAAAAATAAACAAGCAAACAGGTATAATGAGTTAATGCTCTGTCCTCTGTTTCTAGAGGCTGAAGTCCAAAGTCTTATGTTACCAGTGAAAGTGAGCAGGGCCCCTTGGGAGGAGGTGAGAGTATGATTTGTTAGTTCAGAGCTCTCTTGGAATGAAATAGTTTAGAGGAAGGCCCTGTACTGAATCAGTTTTGGTTTTAAGCTGATTTTCTGTTGTATCACAAACGTGATACACTTTGAAGCCCTCTTAAATCTTGGTTACACCCCTTCATAATTCAGTTTTTGTTTGGATAAATGAAAAAAAGAAAAAAAAGTAATCCCTGTAAGCCTAGCTTCCTTTTAGATTGCAGCACTGAACCTTATGATGAAACACCTGCATTTTGCTTGGTGTCTCAGAGGCTTGTGGTTGAGCAGGAGTCTTGTCCTATGTCTAAATTAAAAGTCCTTCTGTTTATCATTGCAGTTGAAAGGCTAAAGTAGCATTTGAAAGGCCGGGGGGGAAGGCATGAAAGGTGAGCTTTGAGGAATTTTGATTAAGAGGAGCTAGTGAGTAGGAGTTCATGGGCAGAAACTTGTAGCCATGTTGAAGGAATTAGTGAGAAGATGGTGGTGTTGGCCATCCTGGCTTGGATGGCAAGCATCATGGACGCTTGGGGATGAGTAACATAGGCTAGTGACATGCATAAACTGAGTATTTAGCAATTAATTACTTTTTTCTTTTTAGAAACATGCTTTAATGCCTGATTTTATGGTTAACCTAAGGAAGGAATGGGAGGTGACTCAAGAGCTGTTACTGGAGAAAGCAGTGAAAGGACAGTGATTTGGACTCTGGGAACAGGGATGCCTCTTATATCAAAGAAAAGAGCAAGGTCAATAAAGAGAAAAGTTTAAAGAAAGGAATCAGTTGGGTACAAAAAGCTCAATGTGAATGATCAGCGTGGAGCTGCTACAGAGCTGCTTATTCCCTTAACCTTATTTTATTTGCTCAAATATGAAACTAGTGACTCAAGTTCTGGCCCTAGAGCACGTCCCAGCCTTGCTCATTCAGTTGCCTGTGTTTCCTGCTCTGTTCAAAATAACACTCAAGAGCTCAGTTGTACTAATATCAACCCCTCTCTTTCTCGAAGGTTTCACTGCGTAAATGATGGCTAAAATGTGATAAAGCCCAGTATGCTTTTTCTTTCTAGGAGCAAATCTTTGAATGATGTTAGTGCAGAAGAGCTGCAGTCATTGCGCAAAATCCGTTACGAAGAGCTACAAAGGATCAAAGAACAGTTGCAAGAACAAGATCTAAAATGGCAAGAAGTAAGCCCTCCTTTTTACCCCTTTTCATGTGTCCTGCTGAAAGGCTGGGTGCTGCCTACCTTCAGTGTCCCTAGAAAACAGGCTTTGACATGTGTGCAGCAATTTATGGGGCTGTCTTCTGAAACAATCTGTCTTATTTAACTGCTAGGGATGTCTGTTTAATGCAGAATTGAACATATTTTAAATATCATCATAAGTATCTGATTAATGCTTCAGGTTAAGACTTGTATGCATTCTAATAAAGCCTTTAGGCTTGATTTCTCTGGACATAAAAGTTAGGGCTTCATGTGTTATCTGAAATATGTGAATACTTTTTTTGTGAAATGATTTGAATGTCTGAACATTTGATCCTCTGGGAGAAGGAAGGGAAATAATATTTTCCCTGTGCAAATTTGTAAGGCTTCTATCCCTTAATAATTCTGTCTTAAATCCAGCTTGTATCCTGATGTGGTAGCTTTGCACAGCATCATAATGGTTTCCAAAGACTTCTTTGTTAAAATCTCTGCTTGACAACAAGAAGCTGGAATTAAGACCAGAACACCAAGGAAAAATCATAGAGTAGTTAGGGTTGGAAAGGACCTTAAGATCATCTAGTTCCAACCCCCCTGCCATGGGCAGGGACACCTCACACACTAAACCATGTCACCCAAGGCTCTGTCCATCCTTGCCTTGAACACTGCCAGGGATGGAGCATTCACAACTTCTCTGAGCAACCCATTCCAGTGCCTCACCACACAGAAGTTCGCTGTTGTTTTGTTTAAAGCACCTCAGCCATCTTGGCTCTAATATTCAGTACTACTTTTAACTCAGCTCTGGTATTTCATGTAGAATATTGCTAGTTCACATTGTGGTTTTACAGAAATGAAGAAAGTATAGAAGTATATGTTTTCAATTTAGAATTTAAAGTGTGTTTGTTCTCAAGCTAATGTATCAGTTTAACACAGTAGTGATTTGGGGGTGGGGAGGCAGGGGAACTCATCCCAAACTCCAAATCTTAAAACAAGGAAATATAGATGGTATTTGCATTTGTTTTCCACTATGTGTTGCTGAGTGAAATATTCTAGAATAAAATAGAAAGTGTTGGGTTCTAATGCGGGGAGAGGGCAAAACATGTACTTTTCCAGTTGCAGTACAGTAATTACAATTATTAACTTTAACAGGCAGTGAGCAAGTCTGTAACCCTAGGTGAAATACAAGAGCCCCTTTAACATTTAGTAGGGGAAGGTACATGAAAATATTGCTGCAATGCAGGCATGCAAATAAAATCAGGCCAGTAGGTAGTGTGATGTAGGTTTAAGAGGTGTTGAGAAAATCTAGTTTTATATGTTCATATTATTCTTACAGGATTTAGCAAAATGGAAGAATCGTAGAAAGAGCTTCACTTCTGAATTGCAAAAAAAGAAGAAAGAAAGAGAAGAAATAGAAAGGAGAGCCTCTGAGGTGTCTGAGAGGAGTACAAAGTCACTGAAAGAAATACAGCAGGAGAGGTAATGACCCTAATGGAAGTATTATGTTGAAGAACTTAATTCTGAGAATTTCTATTCCCTTGAATTCTTGAGCAGCTTTTACTGGCAAGTTGCAATTGATTCTGCAGGCATCTCAACAATTTTAGTTGCAAAACATAATGTAGAAATCTAGGCAATTGAAGGACAGAATATGGTCCGCTAATGCATTGTTTTCACAGAAAATTACACAGTTTTGATCTATAAATGGTGTTTTATTCTATTATCCATAGATAAATGTATTGAGAAGTTAGTATTTGCACCCACTTTGAGGAGATTAAAAACATAGCACTGAACTGCCTTTTTTATTCCTGGATCAACTTAACTATTTCTCTTTCCTCTATCACTGCATTTGCTATTCTTTTAACCACTGTGGATAAATACAGCCAGAATTTTAATGTATATCACAGAGCTGTAAATTTTTGCTTGATTTCCCTTCTGTCCCCGGTTGCTCCTTTGGGTGTTTACAGAACAAGATTCTCTCCAAAGAGTCAGAAGTGTAAACTGAGTAGCACAGTATCTCTTCTACTGGTAACAGTCTTTCAAATGTATGTAAGACTGAGATGAAGGGAATATGGACACAGCATGTATTCATAAAATAAATTTAAGAATAGTTTGCATTTTTTTTTTTTGGGGGGGGGGGGGGGGGGGGTGTTAATTATTTGTGAGTACAGAAATTAGTCTCTTGAATAAAATATGGATGCTAGTTGTATTGAATGCCCAAAATCATCAGAATCTTAAAAACATTCGAGTAAATATTCTCTGTGGTGGTTGTCCTTTTATGACAAAAGGAATGAATAGCATAAAAAAAACCCAAACAACTGAACTTCAGGACACCATCTTCTTTGTTATCTGAAGTTCAGTAATTAGCATTTTCATAGAGCAAACACACCAGCAGAGCTATACAATTCAGGCAGTGTTATGGGACTACCTTCTTCTCATTTTTCCTCAATAAAATCTTGGTTTTTGAGGATATGTAACTTGAATAGCTACATCATTTTCTTGGTAAAGAGATTTCTGTCATGGTGGCAACTTGATAATGTGATGGTAGTGTGCCTGAGTGTTATCAGAGTGTTGAAATGGGGAGGAAGGGAAAAAAGGTAGATTTAAAAATATATTAAAATACTATGAATTAAATGATGCCATTCATTTTTACCTATTGGAGACGTGTCTCTTGATTTGTGCTTTGCTTTGAACATTCAGTAGTTGAAAGACTTAGGGGGCTGCCTGTTTGTCAAGTCCCTTTTGGTATTTTAATGTGCTCTGTCCCCATAGGGAGGACAGAGATCTAGATTCCTACAGGCAGCGAAAACACGAACACAGATGGACATATTCACCGAATGATGATGTATTTAGTGAAGAAAAAGCACCTTCCACACAGTCACCAGCAAAAGACTATCTTTTGGAAGAAGATACCACCAACAGTTCTAAGGACAACAAAAGCACAAATGCCACACAACAGCGCAAGGAGAACCTCCTGGAGAGCTCGGCCACTCGTGAAGCTCCTACTCCACCAAAGAGCCTGGCAGAGGAGCACAGCTCAGGTCTTTTGTTTACCCGCTACTCAGCGAATGCTCAAACTGGGTCAGCTCAGGTTTCAGCTTCTCTCCCGAGAAGTTACCAGAAAACCGATACCTCTAGGTTAACATCTGTGGTTACACCAAGACCTTTTGGTGTCCACTCAAGAGGAATCTCGTCACTTCCACGGTCATTCACGGTAAAATTCTGCTTCATTCCTGCAGTTTGGAGTCTTGGGTAGCTGGGGGAAGAGTAGAGTTTTAACATTTTATTTATTTATTTATTTTTAAATCATCTGCTGCTTGATGAAGTCTGTGTTAATAGAGCAGGCAATTCTGTTGTGGCTTTAGATGTTTACTTGTGTTTCTGTACTTTAAAGGCACTCCTAGAATAGTGTGCCGGCCAAGTCGGAGCAGGAACTCACTCTCCATGTGAGGACACTTCTCAGGGGGAGTCAGGGCCCCCTATAACACTGCCCTGACAAAGTGTCCCCATTCTCCTCTCCGTCCCTCCGGGAGTAGGGGGAGGGAAAGAAGGGGGGGAGTGAGTGAACGAGTTACCTGGCTGGGCTTAAACCACGACAGGCTGATAAATACATTTGGTAGAATAATAATTTTATTACTTTTAGTAAGTCTCCTTCATGTTGCTTATCAAAAGCCTGTCTTTGTCAGATGTAATTGTCTGAAACTAAGTTAATGTAATTAAGTGCCAAAGACAAATTATTCAGGTGATTTAAGTTTCTCTTGCTCTGCTGATTTCTGGTGAAACTGAAATTTTATGCTGCCTTAAAATTTACCTGCTCAGCAAAGCACTGAAACACAGAAATTGATATCCACCCTCTCCACTCACCCTGATTAACTGTGTTGATTTTCATAACTTTCTCCTAAATCCCCATTTGTCTCAATTTTTAAAATGGTAAGAATGCAAATAATTCTAAGAAGGTGATATTAACATTTTTGTCTTAAAAAGTCTAGACTATTCTGCAAGCAGTTCAAGAGAAAAAATACGTTTTTCTTTAAAGTAGGTAATTAGTAATGGGTACAGTCACCATAATTTGCCTGAAAGGGAGTTTTTTGACAAATATATATAGATTGATGAAAGACTAGGGTTAGTTTTTTATTTTTAAGCATATGTTTACTAAACTGTTATTTTTGTCCTAGATGGATGATACCCAGAAATACAATGGAGAAGTAGAAAAATCTAAGAGAACTCAAACTTTGTTCACTAGCAGTTCGTTTTCAGAACCAGATTCTGCACACCCTCTCTCCGCTGGTGCATTCAAACACAGAGGTGAGGAGGAGGAGGAGGAGGAAAAGGAAGGTGTTCAATCAACACCATCTCCTAGTTCAGCATTACCTGTAAAATCCCAAGACCAAGATGCTGGAAGCAGTATTCTTAAACCAGATTATTGCTGTCCTCCTGATTCTCTTTCACTTGCATCTTCTGCAGAAAATGTGAGTCTGCCAGAGCCTGAGGATTCAAAATCTCAGGTAAGTGTGGAAATAATGTGATTACATAGTGTAACTGAATGCTACAGTAGAGTAAAAGAAAAAATAAATAAAATTACAGCTAATGCAAGTATTTTTTGGTAGTGAGAAAACAGCTCTGAGATCTACTACTTCATTTGATTTAGTTCAGGGGAAATAGAATATTTGGAAAGCAAATAATTGGTTCTCTTGCAGCATTTTTTTACCTACCCTTTATATGTCCTGTGCTTAATTTTATTCAAAAATAGTTGATTTCAAAATAGTTACTCTAAACACTGTGATGCTTACAAAGTTTTTCTTATTCTCAAAAATAGCACATTGTATGCACAAGCAGGTATGTCAGATGAATGATCTAAGCTGCTGTAGCATTCATTTGCACTTTTAAACTGGTGGTGGAAAATAACGATCAGCTTTGTAAAGGCCAGCCTTAAACGTTACTATCATGCTATCCTTTTTTTCCACTGTGGCCTGAGATCCCATCCTTTTCTTTTTGTTATTTTGTTATTCACTTGAATCCGATTAATGTTCACATTAATAAATTTTAAGGCAAATCACCATCTCTTTGTGTATGTGCTGATCCAGGAGTTGGGTCTTTCAGCATTTTTTTTTTTTTAAATATATATCTTCCAGTGCTGCTGCTTCCACTTGATTGCATGTTTCACATGTGAAAAAAATGGAGCGATAGCTTTAATTGTTGATGCCTTTCTGTAATATGTAATGAGGTGGTTCAAACTCCTTGACAGATTCGAGATGAATTCTTTGCATTCCTAATGCTGCTGTAAAAGTTAATTGTGCCAGTTGCTTGGGTGAGAATGCTAAGACCTTAAATGCTGATTTATGAAATCACTTCTCATACCAGCTTTTTATAAATTCAGGCACTGAACCATTCTTCTTCCTAATCACTTGTGGAAAAGGAACACGTTTCAGTTTAATACTCCTGATACCCTTGGGCAGTGAAATGAAATTGTCATAATTTTTTCCAGCTCTGATTGTTTTATAAGGAAGGAGATCATGATCTTTTTTTGTCTGTGTTATCACAAAAGCAGGCAGAGAAATTGCTGTTCTAATCAGTGAAAACATAGATTAAATATGTGTTCTTTGTATCACTTTAAGGGAGCCAAATGAGAACAACATGTACTAGGTCCGCTTCTTTGGGTTTTTTTTTCTTTTCATTAGTCACAAGATTATAAACCTTTCTGCACGTGAGTTATGTATTTTGGTTTTGTTTTAAAATAAAAAAAAATTTTTTTTTTTAAAAAAAGCTTGTGTTGTGCTTCAAACAAGCCATAACTTAAGGAATACAAGCTCCATTTGGCATGTTTGTAAATCGTTGTCAGAGTTGAGGGATTGATATAGATCAATAGTCATCAGGGCAATAACACCAGGTTTGTGGAGTACTAGGTGTTTTGAAGGCAACCTGTTCAAATGATGAAGTTCAGTGCACAAATTTGTATTACTTCTCTCACAAGAGGTAGGTTTAAAGAAACCCACCAGGTTGGGATGTTGGAAATAAAAATAACAGCAACAGTAATTTCCAGGAGCACACTCAAATTCAGAAGCTTCAAATACGCACCAGCCCTGTGTAAAAACCTAACCTGTCTATTAGTAGATTCACATTTGTGACTAATGTACTGTTACCCCCCTAAGGACTTGGGTTGTATGGGAGCTTTTGCAAGCTAATAGCTGTGTTTTGAAGAAAGGACTTATTTTCTACCCTGGGCTGTAATAGAGAGTTCTGTGTCAGGAGCATTCCTGTAACACAAGGCGAAACCTCAGGATGTTGCCTTGTAATGTTGTTGTCTTCCACACCCAGCACTGCTGAAGCATACTTTGCCTAGCTACATTTTGCAGTGCTTCCTGTAGCTGCCTGCTGTGTCTTACTTTAATTTAAATCCCAACCCTTCAGGAAGGCTGGTTCACTAGGCAGCTAAAATGTAGTTGTGCATTTAATGCATGCACATAAGTATGTGGAGTCTCCTCTATGCATAGTTGGAATATATGTATTTTAATGGTGTTTGACAGAAAAAAAGTCTACAGTTTTTTTCCCCCTTTTATAACAATGTCAGCTCCATGATAATGAAGTGATTTTATACCTTTAATGAAGGTATTCTAATTGTTTTTAAAGGAGTTTGCATTAAAATGTTTGTGTTCATAATATAGTGTGGAATTAAAAACAAGTGTTCCAAAATGTTTTCCCAAACAAATATTTCTGTAGTTTAAAATGGTAATGTGAAGTTTTGATCCTGATTTTAAAAGCATCTTGAAAGTCCACTAGAATCGAAGATCTGGATTCTAGCTAATTCTGGGATTAGTTTTATTATCTGAGGCCTCCATTATGAAATCCGTAGCAAAATAGTAGTGTTTTACACAAAATTAAAAAGATGAATGTTCACCTAAGTAAATCTAGTTGCAGCATTGAACCTGAAAGAAACTGATAATGCTCATTGTAGGATGCACAAAAAATAAAGATGAATTTCTGTTATCTGACTTTTTCATATCTGACTTATGATCTCTCACAGTGCATTCCACAAATTTACAAGACTATCTATCCATAAAGACCCATTTAGTGGTTTAATGTCCTCAAACTCCTTACATTTTGTACTATTATGTTGCAAAACATTTAAAATAAGAGAAATGCACAGCTAAATATATGTGTAGAGAAAATATGAATGTAAACTGAAAATACAGCCGTTTGAATAAAAAACAAATGAGTTAGTTAACTGACATCAACACTGTTTCCTTTGTCTATGATGGTAATAATAGATGATTAAAGTGCACATTATGACCAGCCTCACCTATTTAGAGGATAAACTTTCCCTCATTTAGATTCCTGTGATACCAGATACTGTAGTGTCATGTTTTATTTTTCAGGAGCAGTACAGTGAAATGAGAATCAGTATAAACCAGAGACCTGGCCACAGTCGCAGCTTTGGGTTTACTGCAAATTGGAGTTCTTCAGGGGTCTTCGTACAGACAGTTGAAGAAGGTAAATATGTATTAACTGCACAAATTTTTGTTCTTGTGTTTAGTTTTCAGAGCCTTCTAAATTAAGGCATTTGCTGTCAACAATGCTGCAAATATTTTTAAATATCGGGTGAAGAATTGAAAAATCAATATTTAGTTTATTCATGTATTTCTGTGAATCCTCATCTCTTGAAATGGGTGGAATGCACAGATAGCTAAAAGGCATTTTCCTAGTCAAGGACATTTCTATAACCACTGAAAAGGTATAAATATGGTCACTCAAATATTCACCAAGACCCTTACAGAACAGTAGTAAGGGGCACCTACAGACTTCTAACATCCAGATTGTTCCTTTCATAGAATCATAGAATGGTTAGGGTTGGAAAAGATCTTAAGATCATCTAGTTCCAACCCCCCTGCCATGGGCAGAGATGCCTCACACTAAACCATGCCACCCAAGGCTCTGTCCAACCTGGCCTTGAACACTGCCAGGGATGGAGCATTTACCACTTATTTGGGCAGCCCTCACAGTAAAGAACTTCTTCCTTATATCTAATTTGAACTTCCCCCATTTAAGTTTGAACCCATTACCCTTTGTCCTATCTCTACAGTCCCTAATGAAGAGTCCCTCCCCAGCATCCTTATAGGCCCCCTTCAGATACTGGAAGGCTGCTATGAGGTCTCCATGCAGCCTTCTCTTCTCCAGGCTGAACAGCCCCAGCTTTCTCAGCCTGCCTTCATATGGGAAGTGCTCCAGTCCATTTATCATCTCTGTGGCCCTCCTGTGGACGTCCTTCAACAGCTCCATGTCCTCCTTAAGTTGAGGACACCAGAACTGCAGTCAGTACTCCAAGTGGGGTCTCATGAGAGCAGAGTAGTGCTGGTCATGCGTCTTTTGATTAGGTCCAGTATACTATACATTATATTTCAGTGAAGTTCAAAAGATTCACTTCATATGGTTTGTAAACACATGCAGAGGAAATTTAGGGGTTAGAATTTTTATTTCAGTTTTCCCTTTCTTAGTCATGTTAAATTTTGGAGACAGTTAATAATTTTAAGCAGTTTCAACTTCTAAATTCATTTCTGGTGCAGATTTTTTTTTTCCAGATGTGTTGATACTGAGGAAAAGCAAACATTTTTGTCTACATAAAGTTTATTTCTAAGGTTTAGTAATCTTTTGCAGAAAACAAGCTCAAGTTTTCCTAATTAAAAACCAAAATACAACAAAAAACACAAATACCCAAGCAAATCACATATAATGCTTGTTTTCTAACAGTGATCTTTCCTGTTGCCAGTAATACTTCAAGAATATTGAATTGTGCCCTTTCTTCCAGCTAACACAAGATCATCCTGAGAAGGAAGAAATAACTGGAAACTTCTCATTTAGTTAGCCCTTCATTATGCTTTCCAGAAAGGAAAAAATACCATTTAACAGCACTTCCTGAGCAGCCTTGATTTCCCCTTTTCCCCCATTTCAAAGACAGCTTTTAGACCTCTCCACTATAACTGGATACTTCTCATAATTAGATTATAACCTCTTATATACACTTTGCATGAAGAGTAACTTTCCATTTGCTTTTCCTGTGCTGGGCTTCTGGTTTAATTTTGTTACTTCGAGGCAGAGAACTGTCTCTTTGCACTGCTTGAGGGTAGTGAGTGTTCCTGTTGGTCATTCACAAAGGTCCATGTGGGCTCCATCCCCTATTCCGAAGGCAAGGAGAAGATGAAGGCCTTGTGGCTGTTATTTTGGTCATGCTTCATTACAGTTCTCACAAGGAAGGGTATGAAGCATAGATTGAATGGAGAATGGCCTGTCTCTTGGTATTCTCATTTATAGCTTGTGTTTAATACCTTTTTTCATCAACTGGCTCAAGTTGTATCTATTCATAAGCTGCAGCTTCCTTTAAAGGATGGCCCATTGAAAGATCTGTCAGCTATGTGCTTATGAATGTTTCATTTCATATTTTTAAGGATAAGTTATAGGATAATTCAGATGGAAAGGGGCCTTGGGAGACCACCTAGAGCAAACCCTGGCTCAAAAGTGTCAAAACTGAATTTGGACCGAGTTGCCTAGGGCCTTACCCAAGGGTTTGAGACCCTTGAAGGATGGAAACTGCATTGTTGGATGGAAACTGTCTGCATTGCGTAATTATTCTCTTGGAGAAAATTTTCTATGCATATCCAGTCAGACCGACCTTTGTTTATAACCACTGTGCAGTGTTCTCCTCCCATAAATTTCAATAGAGTAGGCTTTCCCTTCTCAGTGACCTCCTGGTAGATAATGGGGGGGACTGCTGTAGGTCCTTCTGCAGCCTCTCTTTTCTGGGCTGAACAAGCCCATACCCCTCAGCTTCTCCTCACAGGGCAAGTGCTCCAGACTTGACCATCCCAACAGCCTTCCAGTTTATTGATGTCTCTCTTACAGTGAGGAGCCAAAACTAGACACAGTATTGTCAAAGTGGCATAACAAATGCTGACTGAATGCCCAGTTCTCCACCCTCTCCATTTTGGCATGGTTTGCAAGCTTGGCAAGGGTGTGTTTTATCACCTACTGTTATTGGTGAACAGAGGAGAGGTAGAGAGGACAGGTCCCAGGATGCATCCTGGGAGCTTCACTTGTAACCAGCCTCCAGGCCAAGTATAAACCCTTAACTGCTACCCATAGAGCCTGACACCCCAGCAAGGTCTTCACCCATCTGGTTGTTCTGCCCTGTAGACAATACCATCCCAACTTTGATGCCAGGGTACTGTGGAAGATCACATCAACCACCTCATTAAAGACAAGGTGGATGGTATCCACCATTCTCCCTTCATTCACAGATCTAGTTGTTTCATCATTGAAGACAATTGGGTTGTTCAAGCATGATTTAGGCTTGGCAACTCCACACCAGCTCTTCCCAGTCACCTCTCTTGTGAGCCCAGTAATAGCTTCCAGGAAGACTTTCTCTGTTTGCTTTGACATACTTGTCATCCTAACTAGCTATATGATTTTCTTCAGGCAATAACCTACATTTATCTTTTTACTATTATGACTGTATTCTACATATGCTCTTCCTTCAAAAAAATATTAAGGAAACTACTTGGCAAGCAAATTAATGTCTTATAAGTGTTCTCAAAAAGCTTAATAAGAGTTAAGCTTGTAACACGTTACAGTGAGACCCATTTGCTACATACAAAAGAAGGCCGTTCTCATTTTTTTTTTTTACAGGTATTTTCAACCTAATGCTAAAAATTAGGTAATAATTAATCTAGACATTGTTCTGACAACTTCCCCAGTGCTGTATAATCTTTATTGTTTTAGTCTTTTCCCTTCTACCCACCCTATTTACAGTCATTTTTTGAGGTTGTGTTGATGTAGGAGTGCACATGTCTGCAATCAGACACTTGCAGGCATGCAGTACAAAGTAAATTTGGCCCACTTCCTTCAAGTTTTAATTTTTTTGTATGACTGAACTAGTATTTATCTCTTGTAATAACAACAGGTCAGGATAGGTTAGCGATAACTAAATATGTATGGAAAATGAGTGAGTATTTGGTTGGTTTTCACTGGGGAGTAGTAAGAAAGAAAAACCTTTAACCTTTATCTTCAGGGAAACATATGAAAAATAACAGTATTTGTTTTATGTAATGTAAACTGAATCCTCTACAGCAGTATAAAGAAATTATCAGTCTCCTATACTGTTGGATGAGCTGGACAGGGAAAGACAACTAGCAACAAACATGTTTTGGCACCTGAATTGCCAGCTTTGTATAGTCTCTGTAGGCTTCTCTGGAAATGAATTGGAACAGAAGCCCAATATAGGCACCCTGGTTGGCGCTCTTGAGAAGCCCTTTTATTCACAGACTGCAGAGGGAATAGAGGAAGGGCAGCTGGCAAAGTCACATGCCAAAAATTGAGCTGTTTAAGTTGTTCTGGTTGTGCTGGGTCTACACATGTAATCTAGAGACTGCTGCTATTCATTCAAATCTGTATGGTTGGGATGTGGTCTGGATATGTCTTTGTGGTGATGCTATAGGAGAAACCATGTAATCTTAAATTCCCTTCCTTTCCTAAAACTGAGCTGAAATATGCTGTTCTCACCTGTGAGCTAGCTTTCATTCCTGTCAGATTACTGAGTAAAGTGAGCACAGTCTTCTTTTGGTTCCTAGAGCTCACTCTGTCACATCACAAAGCAGGGAAATTAGCAGTTCTGATGTCTCCCCTTGAGCCTGAAGCATTCTCTGTACTATGTTCAGTCTACATGTGGTCAAACTATTAAAGATCTTAGATTTTTATATTGGACACAATTCCAAATTTTATATGATGATTTTGAAAACAGTAGGTTCGGTGGCAGCATCAGTAGTATGCTTAATAGTACCTTCCACTAATAGATTAGAAAACCCATTAATTCTTCAACATCTTCTTGGCTCTAAGGAGATTCATATTCTTTCCAGTTTAACTATCCCCCATGTTTTCATCCTCCAAATGAAATCCTATCTTTTCTTTTATAATATTGTTTAAAAGTAATTGCTATATTTTGAAAATTTTACTGGTAACTGCTAGTGAGGTTTTAGCCTGTACTTTAAGAGGAATAGAACATGGAACTATGCTCTTTGAACAAAATAGTTAGAGTTCACTAGAAAAACAATACTAATGGATCACTGTTTGGTGCAGTATTAGGAAGCATAGTTTTTATTCATTCCTTAAATTCCTTGGGTGCTAAGAATATTAAAAGCTATCTGAATCCTTAGTAGATATCCAGACTTATAGCAGCATTTTACTAGTGAGTCAGGAAGCATATGATGTCTAAGTTCTTCCATCATGCTTGTCCACATCTGTTTCTGATAATGTAATATGGCATTGTTCTTAGTGTATTTAAAAAGGTATCTGGATTTCACTACTGACTCTGGAAAATGCTTCCACTGTGTAATTCAAATTTGTTTTACTTTATTAACGTGAGGATTTATTGTGCAATCTTCAAATTAATTTCACTTGGCTTTTTTCCATTTTCTATTCTGCTAAGGGGGTAATTGTTAATGGAAGAACTATTCAGATGTATTTCATAAAATCTTACGTGGGGAAGTTCAAGTTTCTCAGCTCATCCATTTTCTGAATTAAATAGAAAAAAAAAGTTTATTAACTGGTCCTGTATGTTCTCTGTCCTTAGGCTAGTGAGATCGCCTGGCAGTGTGTAGTAGATAAAGAAGAGTATAAAGTGCAGCCTATCTTGCAAAATATCAGTAGAATTCAAAGTTCAATCTGCCATAAAATTCACTCCTAATAGTCAAAATAAGTAGAATCCAGAGAAGTCCAGGGCAGCACACAGCAATGTTGTGAGTCCAATTACCAGAAAATTCAGAGCTAGCAAACTGTTTTAGCAAAACAACAAAGCAGCATGCTCTTGTCAATAAAGCCCTGAAAATGTAAATAAGAACATGAGAAAACCAGCTTTTACTGGGGTTAAGGAGGAGGTTGGGGTTAAGTTTTACTGGTTTGGGGTTTTTGGGGGGGGTTTTGTTTGTTTTGGTTTGTTTGTTTGTTTGTTTGTAGGGTTTTTTGGGGGGTTAGGGATTTTTGTTTTGTTTTTTGTTTTTTTTTTGTTTTGTTAGCATGGGTTGATTGTTTGTTTTGGCAAATAAGAGGATTACCCAAACATTGGCTGAATTTCAGCTAATCATTGGCTACAGACACTAGCACTGCCTCTCTAATTCACTACTGGCCAGAGGCTGCTTATTAAGTGGGCTAACCAGAGTGTGAACATTTACAAGTCCAGAAGACTGATGTTCTTTTTTCAGAAGTTTCAGGTTGAAACACTACTTTGATACCAAGTTTACTGATCTTATAAGATCAGTAGGAGATTTTTCTAGCGTAGATTTTTTTTCTAGTGTAGTAGATTTTTCAAAGACTTTCTGAATATCCAGCAATAAGCATTTATTTGAACTATTTCTTCACCCACCCAACCTCCAGTCACAACTGTGTTAAAAAAACAGATGTGAATGGAGACCTGATTTTCTTTTTCTTTTATTTTCTGTAGCTAGCCCTGCATCAGTTTGTCAGCTGCATGTAGATGATGAAATTATTGCTATCAATGGCATAAAGGTTTCATGTATGGACTATAGACAGTGGGAAGAAGCCATCAACAGAGCACTAGAAACTGGAAACCTGCTCATGGATGTCAGACGATATGGAAAGAATGGTGAGTTGTTTCATCGGGTGGATACAGTATGCTCTTTAAGGCAAATAAGCTCTCTGTGCTGTACCTGACAGCTGAGAGTCCTTATTAGCCTTACAGTAGTAATACGTATCTAAGCTAAGTAGTTTGCTAGCATGTCTGTTGCATTTTAACACCACTTGGCTTTTTTTTTTAACTACTCATGCATTAGAAATATCTTGACAAGCAAGTCTACAAAGCACTGAACTACTGACCTCTCTTGTGCTCTGACCTGTTTGAGAGGATGCACAGGTAAAAAAGTGTGCAACCACCATACAAGGGGAATATAACATTTTCTTTTCTGACACATTACATAAATGAAGAGGAAGTCTGGTCTCTAGAGGATAGTAATTTTTAGAGCCTTTCTCCCTCAGTCAGCAGCTCCCTTTTTGCAGGGAAAGAGGATCTTGTGTTCATTTCTTCAGGGAGTGTTTCAGGTAGTGGATGAGGTTGTGGTTGATGTATTGTGCTATGATTTTGGCCATTGACCCAAATATTGTGATGCTGTAATCTCTCCAGGATTGTGCTACCTGTTCTGGCTAGTGAGGGTTTCCATCCTGGCTAAAGGCCTTGTTGCATCCTTAGACTTGCCATGAGTTTAATCAGGATACCCTTTCAAAGTCCCAAAATAGTTTTTCTAGAGTTGAAAGTGCAATCAGTGGTTTCTTTCAAAGTATAAATACAAAACATTCTTTTAGGGGGAAACTAGGTAGAATAACCTACTAGCAAGTGGGGAGAAAAATAGTGGTGTGAAGAAAAGACAAGAAACAATATACTTCTACAGGCCCTAGCATAAATGAAGAGTGAGATTAGTGGAGAAGAACTCACTGAAGAAACCTTAGGTAGCGGGAGGGAAGAATTTACGGAATCTGAGATAAGATTATAATTTGCCTTTGCCTCATCAGTTTTGGTAGTTTAGTTTAGCTTCCTGACGAGCACAGGCATGAAAATGACACTTCCCTGGATAGAGTATGAGTTGTACTTGTATGAATTGTACCTTGAGTGAGTAAAGCTGGAAGAATTTTCTCAATCCTTACTAATGCTAATGAGATAGTTTCCAATGAATACTAATTGCTGTGTAATGTTGAGCTGCTGTTGTGCTTGTTAGCAAAATGTGGTAAACTTTTACCTGGCTTATGACTAACACTTGCATTTTTGGGGAAGGCGGTCTGCTCATAAAAGCCCTTTTTCCTGTCTTCACAAATTCCACCTGATTTGTGTCTCTTCCTCTTCTGTTATGTGTGTTCTCTGTGTGTTATTTTAATGTATTTTCACTAACTCTTGTTCTGTTCTTTGACATTACTGTCTACATTAATTTCTTGATCATCCACATACCAAAAAGACTGGGGCAAAGACCTGCCTTCCCTGCCACATGTAAGGCATAAAATCCTCAATCTCACCAGTATGGCTACCAACATTATAGGTGCATCTGAAAATAAATGGATTGATGCAACTTCTGGAGAGCACGTTTCAAATGTTTCCACCATATCAACAAAAAGAGATTTATCCAGCAGCCTTCAAAGTTCTGTGAGTATGTTTTTGAAGGGTCGTGGGATTTGCAGTTAGGAATAAAGTAAAATGTAATGCCTTGATAGGGAGAGGTTGGAGAAAAGACCTTGGGAATCTTAGTTTTACTTGTATTGTTTAAGGAACATATAGGATACTGCAAATATGGAGGTGTAGCTATGTACATATTAAGGTAAATAAGATGTTTTAAAGACTTGCTACTGCCCATTCATGAGTGGACACTAAGTGATAAATGTTAAAATATGTGCAGACTGGGTTTTAACTAAAATGTATACAGTGCTTGTTCTTTAGAAAAGACTTTCATCTCCATTATTAGCATAAATGAAAGTTGCAGCCCCAGATTACTTGCAAATAACACCCTGCCTGCTATGAAATAGAAAGATCTCAGCTTCTGGCATTTTCTTACAAACTAATGTTTTTTATTTCAGCCAGCTGGTTTTTGATCCCCTCATATGCCTGCAGTAATTTTACCATATAATACATTTAGGAAGTTTTAGATAGTTTTGTATCTTTCTGTGGAAAGTGTTCTGAAGTGTTTCATGATAGAGAGTTCCTGTCAGGGGAGATGTGTAACTGGATAAACTTCTACAAATCTAATGAACCTAAGCTCTTTTTTATTACTATGTTTTTCAGGATACAGAAACAAAATTGATAAATGGGATGCAAGGAGATCTTGGCTCTAATGAACAAAGAGGTAAACCACCGTTGCTTTTCATCTGCTAATTGGATGGGTTTGTAACAAGCACAGACACAAAACCTGTAGTCATCAAAAGCTTTGTACAGTGGGTGAGGCGAGACCTTAAAGAACTGAAAGCTAGACAGGTATTAGAGAATCTCGTTGCATTCAAACTGGATGTAGTTTGCTGCCATGATGTGTTAGGCAGTTTAAAAACTTGGAAAACTGACAACAAAGCAGTGACAACTTCTCTCCCTCCCCCCCCCCCCCCCACTTCTGCATTAGTGGTTTTAAATTTAGTGTGTGACAAGGGTGAAAGAGAAGAAGGCACAGAATTTGTTATGATTAGTACTGCATTGTGTGGATAACGAGTCGGTATGAGTATTGATTCATTTCACTGCGCAGAGTCTAAAGAGTATTCAACTTCTTGTTTTTCTTCCCCCCCCCCATTTCAATTGTGAGGTTTTGGGTCTAGTGGTTATTTTGCTATGATAATTTTACTTTTATTCCTGGAGAATAATATTGATGATTCTAGTATGAATAACACTTATGATGCTATGAACAGTTACAGCCTTACTTGATGACAGTGAGAGAAACCAGGTACATATACTTTCTAGTAGAGCAATAATCCTTAAATGGATACTTTGCATTTCATTTTACCTTGAATGAGCATGGCAGTTTATGAAAGAATGGCCCCAAGAAATCATTTGCCCCCTGGAGATGCCTTTCTGATGACCTTAAATGGCGATTAGTCTCTTAAATGCAGTTTGGCATCTCAATGGAGGAGGCTTAAATTAGACAGAATCTGAGTCCAAGTTTGTCACTTGTGCTGTTCTTACAGTTGGACATTGTTAGTGATAAAATGAAATACTAATCAGTATATGGTATAACCTACTAAAAACTGTATTTGTTATTATGAAAGGTGAGGTTTCCTTTGTGTTTCAGGGGCTTCTTATTTTTCTGAAAGTTTTTTGTGAAGATGTTGCTGTTGATTGGAGGTCTAACAAAAGTTTCTGATCCAGTGGTGATAATAATTAAAAATAATAAAAATGACAACCTCATTGACTTATTTATATTATTTGTATCTTTCAAATAGCATCTGAACCTATTTCTTTGAAAAACTTAAAAAGGCGGTCACAATTTTTTGAACAAGGTAAACCAAAGAGCTAACATTTCCTGTACTTCCACGAAATTATTCCTGCTGCACACTCTTGCTAACAAGGCTGGTGCTGGGTACTGTACCTCTTCAGCATTGTTTGTTGCAGTTACAACAAAGCAACATAATTAATTTCCTTTCTTTTTCCCAGGGTCATCAGGTTATTCTTACAATTCATGGGTCTACCTTTGTGGTAATGGGTCTTTCTGTGTTCTCTTACATCTATAGCTGTTTAATTTTTTTCCGTGTTATTCATACATTTTTTTTCACTGGATAGGAGTAAGAAAGAGAGCACTCTTTGTTCAGGTTTGCTACTACCTACAAAACAAGAATAACATTGACTATTCCAGCAGAGGCTTAGCACATATCTCAGAGCTGTTGATAAAATACTTAACTCTGGATTTGAGTTTATCTTGAGTTGCAGCTCTGTGCTTTCATCTAAATTGCTGGAAAAAGACAGCTGCTGGCTTTCCACTGTGTGATGTCACAAGATCCCAAGAAAAGCAACATAAATTTTGAACTGCATATGCTAGCTTTTAAAGGCAAAAAAATAAGGCACTCAATTTTGGTTTTGTAGGTTGCTTTTTGGTGTTTTGCATGTCACAACTCACTTCCACTAATGTTGTATGTCTAATGCTGTCTTCAGACTATGTATGCCTTGCTGTTTTGCTGTATCCTGAAAGAGCGAAATTCTGGCCCACTGGAAATTCAGTGTGAATTTTGCCAGTGATTTTAGTGGGACCAGGACTTTGCTTCAGTGGTGATGGCTTCTGTTTTTTCCAGAAGTGATATGTGAAGTGCCACAGCATATATCTCTGTTTGTGGTTCTGTTTGCTTTGAAATACTTCTGCTGCATTGTATCTGCAATATGGTGGTATTTTGATGTTGGGTTTTTTCTTTTTGATTGGTTTCTTTTTGTTGTTTATTTTTTTTTTTTAAGGCTGGCTAGAAAGTATGAAATTTTTATTTTCATAAATTTCATAGCAATATTTGACATATTTCTCTTGTGCTTGAGGAGGAAGAGAAGGGTGAATTTCTGCAGTGTGCACTTAGCACAGTTTTGTTCATTTTAAACTTTTGACATTTTAGTTTCACAATGGTATAAAATACTGTTCTTTCTAAAGAAAGCCTGTACAGGCCAGCATAAGCTTACAGGGGTGAGAGAAGTAGAGAGCAAAGATAGCATCGCCTAATACAATTGCAGGAGATAAAGTCTGTTTGTCCATCACAATATTAGTGATGATGCTTAGGAAATGATTGTACTTAAATCTGTGTTTCTTCACATTTTCTTAACTTTAATATATTAGTATAATATACATCTCTAATAATCATCTTGGTACAAGCTAAGACCACATATGATATCCTCAAATAGTGTAAAGTTTGTGGTGAATGGTGACAAGCTTACCAGATTCAAATGTGGTTTTGGGAGTAGGGAAGGAGGACAGTTGGAAAAGGAAAGTGCATGGGTTTGTGGTAGAGAAGTGGCCTGTGGATGTTCATAACTCTTGATTCATGTCAAGGGCAATAGGTGAGTAGCTGCTTTACCTTGAAGCAGTGTTACGGGTATCACTCATGCTAAACAGTTTGGTTTCACAGTAATAATAGGAGAGGTGTAGCAAAGAACCTCTGTATAGCCACAGTGGGAGATGTACTGCTTATTCAAGCAATTGCTGATGGTACTTGTAAGCATGTAAAGCTTTTAAGCACTTGTGCAAGTTAGTTGAAAGTCCCTAGTGAATTCTGACCTCAAGTGAGTTCAGCAGAGCAAAATGCAAGCATGGCTTACTAAGGAAGCAAAAATTAGTCTGAAGCTCAGACTTTCCCCATTTACACAAGTCTTGCAGCAGTGAGTATGTATGGTTCTAATGATTTTTGGTTTTTGCCTTCCAAATCTCGCAGGAGGCCCAGAACCTGCAATGCCTGATGTAAGTACTGTTTACAAATTACTAATAAGTACTGTAAGCCTGGTCTTTCAAGAAGCCCACTGCTTTCTATTGCTTTTTATACTACTTAAAACTGTGATCAAATCTGAAGTATTGTCTATGATCTCGTAATGTGTAACGGAATGGTTGCTTAATGGTTGCTAATTTAGGTCCATGTCACAATAAAGCTGTAGCGTTTGTAATAGCTTTTATTTCTCACTTTAAAAAATATGTTTAAAAATGTAGAGCGTTTGTTACATGGAAGAAGATTAATGCTGTTTAATTTCTGTGCTGTATTAGCTTCCAGTCCCATCCATTAGTGCTCCTAGTCGTCGGGTTTGGGATCAAGAGGAAGAACGAAAACGACAGGAAAAATGGCAAAAGGAGCAGGACCGTTTACTGCAGGTATAATTAATCCTTATGATCATAGGCTGGCAATCCTTTGGGTGCAGGAACTGTTAAGGAAGTAGAATAACACATGACTTTTACGTTTCTTCTTACCAATGACCCAAGAGAACTTTCAGATACATTTGTTGAGCTGCACGATTACACGCACTAACAGTTATTCAGCAAAAAGAGGACAATGCATTAATGAACTTCATGAAGTCAAACCTAGACTTTGTGTTCACTAGAGCTAGACGTGCTTAATCATTACAAGGGTGGTATGCTCTTACTGGTAGCAAAATGTAAAGGACAAGCAAAGACCTAAGGGGTAGTAGTCTTCACTTTTCAGTATGAGTTTTATTGTTTCCCCTCAAGAAAATTGTCTCTAGAATGAGTTTTACCTTCAATTAGCAATACTGCCTTATATTCAGAGATGAAGAGAAGGCAGCCAATGCCATGGTTAGATGCCTGCTAGCATCCTGAGGTTTAGCAATTGGCTGATTAGTTGGAATCAGCCTGGTTCCTAGGGCCTCTCAGAGTGAGGAAGCTGAACCTGCTAACCCAAAATCACCTTGATAAGCGATTGCTAGAGATGGAGGAAGTGTTGTAGAGGACAGGACAATGTTTGTCATCTTAGGATAGCAAAAACCACAGCAAAGACCTTACCTCAGTAAAGCATAAGCCCATTCAGCCACATTCACCAAGGCACAACTCTGCAAATTAAGTTTGTTATTTGAAGTCCAACCGAGAGACATCAGTGGGCATCATGTACTCTGCACAAGCCCTCTTTAAATTTGGTGCATGCAGCAGAAAACTGGGATGTGAAAGTACAGTGTAGCAACTCTTGCTTTTTGGATGTTTTATCTTTGGCATTCCTTTTAGCATATAAACTCTGCAAGGCAAGAAGTGTGCCTTCCTAAACATATGTGTTGTCTCTTACAGTTTGGGTTGATGGCTGAAGAGATGGTTTAAAGAATGTAAACCTTGGCTCCCCTTTCTCAGTCTCAGCTCTCTGCATTCACTCTGCATTCTCCCTTTTTAGTCCTGAAGTAGTAAATTTGACCAGAGTAATAACATTCTTTCTCTTCCCCATGACCCATGCAATGATTTTTTAAGTATCAGAGAAAATGAAGTCTTTGTTTTCTTATTTCTAATATCTTGGAAGGAATACTTTTGACATCATTAAATAGTTTGTCTTTTCCAAGATCTAAGTGGTGATTGACAAAACCACCAAAACATTTATTGTGTACCTTAAGTAATGCTTTAAGATATTACATTGATTTCATACCAGATCCAATCATAGGACAAATTTGGACATCCAGAAATTGTTTTTTGTTTAGATAATATTCCAAAAGACCAAGAGTTCTTGCTCAAACCAAATTACTGTCTCATATTTCATCTAGTGATCACTTTATACTGTATTAATGTGCATGATTCCAAGTGAAATATAATCACTCCATCTTTCAAGAAATGCCTTAGCTGATTTTTGTTTAAATGGGAACTAAGCTGTGACAGGAAATAAGACAAACCTGAGGTCAGTTGTTATGAGATGTAGCATGTAAAAAGCCTGGATTCTCCACAATCAGTTTCAGAACTCCTTTGGATTATATTTGAGCCAGGATTTCATTGGCTTTGTAGAGCTCAAGCATATTTTCACCACACTAGTCTGTTAAAAGCTGTATTAAATGCCAGTAGTACATTTCAATGCAAATAAAGAATACCATGTTTCTTATCTGCGTGTTTAACTTCAATCTAACCTAACAGGAGAAATACAAACAGGAGCAAGAAAAACTGAGAGAAGAATGGCTACGAGCTAAGCAAGAAGCAGAAAAAGAGAGCTCAAAGTATTTTGATGAGGTAGGCTATGAATATGGCTTCACCCTTGTAAAATAAATTGTTGTCTGTGAATTGATAGAAAGAGGTTGGTAAAATTGGGAAGTAAAGAGTAAATGGGATGTTTTGAGACCTGCTGAATTTGACTTCTTTATGATTGCTTAGGTAACTAACACCAGAAATATGTTAGCAAAAAGTTACAGCATGTGTTAATTATTGTGACCAGAATGAAATGGCCACCTTTGCTGTATATTTACCTCCTGATGTTATTTGTTGGAATTCTGCTTCAATACTTCGTCATGAGGCGTGTTTGTAGATGCCTGGCTTGTTACTGGCAACCAGTTCATCCTATCTCTAATAAATTTACACATCAAATCAACTTCAGATTTGCCATCATGTGTTTCAAACCACTGAATGCATGTAGTCACTGTAGATGCTGACTTTTGTGGCTCTTCCTTATGTGAAGATGAACAGGTTTTCTCTGAGCGTGGGAGGTATTTGAGATACCTCCTCTTTATTGCTATGCAAGTGCTGCTTCAGGCACCCTAGCTAGATCAGTTGCGTTTATACAGTCATGAATAAGTAGAGTGTAATTTAAGGCTTAGGATTTCAATAAGAAAGCTCTTTAAGCTGTTAGAGGACTTTGTTGTACAAGAATGTAAACCATTTTTGTATTTTTTTCTATCATTAGAGGTTTTCATGGACCTGTAAACAGTATTTGTCCCCTGCAACTAAACCATCTTTTGAGCACTGAAAGACATTTTCTCTTCTTTGAGAGAAGAGTCAGAGTGGTAGGTCTGAGGATTTTACATTCAAATGGTAGGAGAATGGAGGAGAAATGTGAAATTCATTGGTTTGATATACACTTGCAGTGTATATCTTTCTGTGTGCACTGTTAGGTAGGTCTCAGGTTTCTAAGTCAAAACAGTAGGGAGAAATTCTGGATATCATGGAAGTTTTGTTTTCCATGGGTATTTAGGTGGAAATGGGATAGCTTGAAATGTGATACTTTAGAAAGGAGAATATTTCACATAGCTGTGGCCATGCTGCCCATGGCGCTTGCTAAGGCTGCTGTGTGGAATGGAAGCTCTTGCATTAGGAGAATGTGCTAGCAGGCACTCGAAACATGAAACCAAAGTATGCCCTTTGGGTCTTGCAATGTAAGTGTTTGGGATGCTTTTTTCACAGTCTTCCCTCAAAGAATAAATGAACTTTTCTGAGTGAGCAACCTGTTTAAATAACAGCTCCCTTCCCTAAAAACATTAGGGTGGTTTTTGTGTTGTGTTTTTTTTCCTTTGCTACAGGAGCAGTCTGTTCTAACCTTAAACACGTCTGTCCCTGCTCGAGCTCCGTCTGTGTCCAGCTGGAGAGCAAGCCCTGAAGCAAATACTCCTGAGGAGCCAGAAGGAGATGGAGGAAGCAAGGTAGCAACATGCCTATTGGGTGAGGAAGATGGAAGGAGGAGGCATCAGGAGGAACGGAGGATCCAGGAAGAAGCAGCCCTGCGTTTTGAGCAAGAAAGGGAACTCGAAGAGCAGGAGCTTGAGAGACAACGTAAAGAGAGAGAACAGCAATATGCTGAGGAGCAAAGGCGGCAGTCAGAGATGGAGGAGCAGAGACGTCAGGCTGAAAGGCAGGAGATGTCAGTGGATGTGCCTCAGTACCAAAGGTGTGCACTTCTAATGGGACATGCTCTATTCCTTCTGCATTAAAAATTCAAATAGATTTCTAATGGGAGTGTGTATGTCCTGAATATATAGGGGTATTCATGTAAGATGTGTAATGTAATCAGCCAGTGCAACATACCACAGGATAGCCTTTCTTTCTAAAGGTGGAAGGATCAGGCAGAAGACACAGTCTTTCCCCATGAATCAAGTGTTCTATTAACCCACTTCTGCTTATTTTTTAAACAGGAAGCATAAATAAAGTAATTACAGCCAAGTGAAAGATGACCTGAAGCACTTACTGTTAAGATTTTTCTAAAAACCCGGCATAAGTCTTTTAAATTGGGAGCCAGCAGCTAAACATACAGGGCTTTCAGAAGAAATACCAAGTTAACTCTTTTCCATAAAATGCATGTCTGATTTTTCCAGACTTCTCTCTCATTTTACTTCGGCAGTGCAACAATAAAGACTAATTGCACTGCTGGGTTAAATTGTCAATAAGGGATATCATGGTATATGAGTGAACTGATGCTTGCTTAGATATTGTAGCTTCTTAGAAATACCAACTGCAGATTTATTTATTCTAGAACATTGAAAAGATTCTTTCATTACCTTCTTCAGTAGCTTGGTTTTAAAAAAAAATTCCAGAACACTAGAATTAAAAAAAAAAAAAACAACAAACCACAAACAAATAAAAAAACCCCAAAACAACAACCCCCCAACTATTAGTTTGCATGTTCATGTCCTTGCCTAGAAGTTTTCAGACTATTGCAGGCATCATGGGAGATTAATTTGTCTGAAACAGATTAAACCAGTAAATTTTCCTTATTTCTTGTGCATTTAGCTTACTGCCTTGTGTATTACTAGCTTTGCTGTTTATCGTGAGGATTTTCCCCTGTTCTCATATAAGTAATAAGAGATGACTGAAGATAATTTACGGTATCAAGTCAGGTCTTTGGGGAAGAAAATATGATTATAAAATTGAATATACTTACAGGGAAGATTGAGACCTAGAGTTACTTTAGCTCATTGTAAATGGCTGCTGCTTGGGATCCCTGCTGAGCAAAGCAGAGGCACAGTTGTTACAGTAGCTAAAGAAATTCTTCTTGGCAGTTGTGCCAGCATATCTGCACAATTTTGGCTTGCCCCAATTGCAAGATAATAGGACTTTGTGCAGTAACTTATTAAGCTGCTGTAATATCTGCATATCTAAATCCTTGATACATGCCTTAGTCCCAGTGGATTTTGCTGCTTCTGAGCTTGTTGCCAGAGGATGCGTTTTGCTAAGCAAGGATGGCTTTGCTTTATAGTAAAGGAGCAAGGTCAGTGAAGCTGGGATTTAAAATATCTGATATTAAATGTCTGCTTTATGATTATATCTGAAGATACTACTTGAGATCCAAAATGTTACATAAATATCTGTGAAGGCATGATACTTGCTGCAAAGAGCACTAAGGTTGGGAACAGGCAGATGGAAGAGCTTTGTCTGTGGAAGTTAGTGTTTCTCTAGGGGTTACAAACTGCACTTATATACAGATACACATGTAACTCTTAGAGAAATGCTGGCTTTGGACAAAGCTCACCTCCTGGCTTTCAAACAGGTGAGACAATCATTGTAGACTGATACTAGTCATTTTTACAGGGTCTGTAAAAGTCTTTGTTTTTTTTTTTTTTTTGCCTATATTTTCATGTTACTAACACGTGCAAATTTTCTCTCCATATGCTTACTATTTGCTCAATTTCTAGAAAATGTTTTTTTGTTTAATACACATTTTCTTCTATCTATTTTGGTTCTAGACATTACGAGCGCTATGAAGTATCTAAAACAATAGAGGATCGAGCTGGCCATCCTGTCATTGACAGGTAATAAGAAATTGAATCAATAGGCAGCTTGAAGTATCTTCAGCAATAAACATTAACCTTTTTGGCACGCTCATGTTTGGATTCCTTGTCACTTACAAAAATGTAGTTTCAGGCAATTTTTCTGACAACTTTTTTTTTTTTTCCCCTGCCTTCTTTTGTTGTGTTTCTGACAAATTTAAGCCTCCCTAGAGCTTTAAATGCATAGAGTTTTGTTTTCCTTTTTTCCTTTAAAGATCTGTTTCAAATGTTTTTAATAAGAGATATTTATATCTATGCATGTCTTTATATGAATGTAATGTATGCTTTTTCTTTCTACAGGCATTATGAGCGTTATGAAGTTTCTAAAACCATTGAGGAGCAACCTGGACAGTCTTTTGCCGACAGGTAGGTGTGATATTGTATCTCAATGTAGACTGTAATATCACTGTTTCTGTGTCAGAAAGCTTTGAAACTTCCAGTAAACTTTAACCATGGCAGCTAAGTGTGTTCCTTATATTGCTGCTGTGTTTTGCAGTTTTTATGGCATGCTTTCCTACTGAGAAAATAAGCAGCCAAACTTCTGGCAAATTATATGTTGTGCTGTAAACAACAGTTAGTCAGTAGGATTTTACTGGGAGAAGCAGAACTGTAAGGAAGTAAATATGTGGGTGGTACTAGACTTATATGGCTGGAAAACTATTTCAGATAATATGGTGGTTGTGTCGTAATGTGCTATACAAACTAAGGTGCAGCCATCCTAATCAGGATTACACAAGTTAAGAGAGAGTAAACAGGGAGGGAAGCGAGAGAGGCAGCAGCAGCATATTTATCAGGAAGATAGTAGATATACCTCTTGTTAAGTTACATTCTATTATCTTAGCTTATTTTCTGTTTTGTTTTGCTTGGGATTTTTTTTTGTTTGGTATTTTTATCATTGTTTGACGGGGTGGTCGTTCTGTTTTTATTTCAATAGACCGTATTAGCCACTGCAGATGTGGGCACTTTGAATAGGCAGCTTTTTCTTCTCCCTTTTAATCACTGGGCTATGGCTAAAAAATGCTGAAGTCACCTAAATCCATAACATTTATATCAAGCCTTTGTCTTAGAGGGCATCCCACAGTAGTTCTGAAAGGTCACCTCTGCTGTGTATTTCATCAGTTCCTATAGCTTGACTGAGCATATTATTTTTTTATATTAAGAGGAACACCAAAACTTAAAGGGTACAACCAATAGATCTGTTACTAGAGGAAGATCTAAATCCAGATTTAGATCTAAATTTAGTGCAGGAAATTCAGAAGGTTCCTGCACTAAATATTACATTTTGGGTATATGCGTGAGGTGGGCATTTGGGTGGTGTACTGACCCGCTCTTTGGAGCTCATGTTTGCTACAAGCATCAGTGAAATCGTTGCTTTTTCTCAAACAGATAATAATATAGGTCTGCAATATAGGGCAGAGAGTCAACTCGGGGGATCAAGAAATGTGACACAGTTTATACGTCCTTTACCTGTAGACAAAGGACAATACCCCCTCCAAACACAGTTGTGCAGGCACTGCTGTACCTGTAAACACACGAATGTAGTAGCTTTGGGTTGTGACCCAGCAAAGGATTTCTGATCCTTTCTGAGGTATTTTAAAACTGGCTGTGTTACTTGAGGCTGATCATACAGCACAGAGGTGTTGCTGAAGCTCCTGCTCTGTACTGGCAGCAAACCAGCTCTTTGACATTTGTCTTCCTGTATATTGAATGACATTTACTGGCTAAAACGCGTTAAAAAATTATGCTGCTGGGTGTAGTCAGTGAATAATAGATTTCCTGAGAACAATCTGCATGCGTTTGAGAAGGTGTTTTGCTTAGAGTCCAGTAACGGTGCTTTAATTTTTTTTAATGACATTCAATCAATTATAAAACTGCTTTGAAAGATACTATATCTTTGACTGCCTGAATGTAGTCTTCAGAAATTTTCCACAAAGAAGGACCTATTTTTTTTTACCACAATGACTGGTGTCCCTTTTACCTGAAACACTGGTAACTTTCAGTACATACTTTTGGTGGTTGCCTACAGGCATCTAAGTATTAACATATTTTTCCCCCTTAATATCCTGTTGGTCTTAGTTTGGGTATTTTTACCTCTTGTTCTAAGTACAGCATAAATTGCTGATGGGAGGGATCGTGAAAAAGATGCTATATATCTGTGCTCTGCAATAAGATCATTGTCCATGATAAGGTCTCCTAGTTGAGAGAGAAGCATGAATGTTTTCTATATCCTTAGGAATAAGTCCAAGTCAACTTCAGAACTGAATGAATTTGACACAATCAGAAATGGTAAGTACTGCTCAATTTCTGTTATTTTTTAAAATGCATTTTTTGTCAAAAGCTGTATTGCACATAATAATGGTAAGAAAATTAATTGTCAAAGTGTTTTATGACAGCTGCCTTGTAATTCAAATTCATACCATGGCGCAATTTGATGAACTTTCAACAGCAAGAGGAAATTCATGCAGTCAACATATAAGGACAAATATAATTAACTGCTCCCTTGAAGACCATAGCAGTGATTACAAACAGATCTTGGATGCCTATATTTTAGGTGACTGATATTTATATGAGGTTAAACCAGTCGTGTAGGTATATTGTTGCAGATGTATGTGCTTTTGATATGGTGACTCTGTCAATAAAAAAAGCTGTGCATACCAAGATGCTTATGTATATGATACAACTGTTTGCTCTTTTAACTTTGGTTAGCGTAGGAGTAGCACAGCTTGCAGTCAGCTCTCGATACTGTCACAGTGGTTTGTTTCTTGGACTCCAGTTCCTTGCTGTCTTTCTTAAGTTGACTTCAGTTACCTTTAGAGGAACGTGTGCAAAGCAAACAAACCCAATTTATAAATATATTGCAGTAGAAAATGCCTGAAAAGCTAGTCCTTTGTCTAAAATACAGTCTAATACAGTAGTCACAAGTAATCATAGAAAAGTAAACAGTGTATTAGACGATATGTTGCAGATGGGCAGCATTGCTTTCTCACACATTAAAGCTTGGTCATTAAAACTAAGGAGCAAGTAGACTTCCACAATATTTTATAACGGTAATCTGTAGCAATAAACACAGGAACAAATAGAGCAGTTTTTAAAGGGATTGAGATTTCAATTGAATGATGCATTGCTGAGTAATTTTCTTAATTAGTCTTACTGTAAATAATAGTTTCTGCATCTAGAAAATAAAGAAAAAACTGTTGCCTTCTAACATGTCAACGCATGTTGGAGAAGGATGGCTTGTTTGTTTCCCCTTCCAAAATTTCAAAGGTCATCTCTACCATAAATCTTGTTTCAACTGACTTGTTAACACAGCATCCAAATAATCAAGAAACTCTCTGTAAGGTTTCCTTCTCTCCACCCCTTTACATATATATTTATATAAGGCAAGATAAAGCAATGTGTGTAGTGCCTTGAATAAAGAAGGAATGCTTGAAAACTTATAGGAAAAAAAGAATATGAATTCTTAAAGGGAAAAAAAGCATCCCACAATTCAATTATATATTTTATAAATGCTTTAGTTCATATTGGAGGAAAAGTCCAAATTGTGGCACTGAAAGAGATCATGCATTTTTAAAAATAAGTGTGTATATATATGTACATACAAATGTATATGCATATACACTTGAAGTGAAGGAAAATACCTACTTGTATTTAAGTTAAACATTATGTAAAAGACCCATTAATGCAACATGAATAAAAGAATTGTAGTAATAATGATGTGTTGCCATGTTTACTGGTCACCCAGCTGTAAAAGGGAAATGGAGAAACTTGTGAGTGTGGTGATTGACTGCTTTTGGAGTTCTAACCAGAGTACTGAATGTGTGATAACTGCTTTTGTGCCTTAAGGTGTCTAGCTGCAACTTGTGCCTGCTGTCCACACAGGTACACAGAGCAAGTATTCGGAGAGGTCCTGGAACGTGGGTGAGTCACAGAAGAAGTCTCAGAAGGAGCACAACCTGTCTGCAGCAGAGCTGGAGAGACAACAAATCCTCCAGGAAATGAGAAAGAAAACATCTCTACACACAGACAGCAGCTGGATTAGGCAGCGCAGTTCCAGTATACATAAGGAGCCCATTAGTCTGTACAGCAGTAGCATGAGGAGGTAGGAGTTGCATTAGAAAATAACTTAAGTCTCTTATAAAATATTTTTGTTTGGTTATTCTAAACTTCAGCTTGTATTACAGAGCACAGAAAAAACTCAGGTGTGTGAAATGCTGTAAAATAAACTGCACAGCAACACAGGTAGAAGAAAGCAGCTGTATTGCAGCTGGGATTAAATGTGGTTTGCAAGTGATATGGTTTAGTGGTAGACTTGGCAGTCCTGGGGTAATGGTTGTACTTAATGATTTTAAGGGCCTTTTCCAACCGAGTTGAATCTGTGATTCTGTAAGCAAGGAATGCAGATGTGACCTCTAAATAACTCAGCTGCTTATTTCTTGGTTGCTGTACCAGCAATGGAAATCAATAGTATGCCTTGTCATTGGCAGATGTGCTTAAGAATTTCAGCATGACAATTTCTTGTGGAAATTATTATTATTATGGCTAAGGAGTATACTCTTTTTCGTTGTTGTTGTTTGGGTTTTTTTTACATACAAATATGTCAGTCTGGAGTTTGTTTCTTGCTTTAAGTAATGTATGAATGTTGGATTTGTCACTTAGAAAACAGCAGTTATCAGTCAGGAGAGTGTTTGGCAATTGGGCCAACACCTTGTACCTAGACGATGCTATCCAGCCTGGGTGGATTGTTATGTTCGATCTGGTATCCCTTGGAGAAAACAAAAACAAACCTGGTATCTGAGGTCCGTTGCTATACAACGGATTTTGATACAGTTCACCCTGGTAAGGCTGCAGTGAAGCATGTTTAGCTTTTATTAAGTGGTTAAGTGCCACCTCTCTTTCACCTCTCCTGTTTTTTTTCCCATGAGACTAGGACTGTACACAAAGGGTAACTTGCTTCTCAAGCATTCTAAGTCAGTATGTGAACAATATTCCTTGGTGATCAGACAAGCATATTCATGCTAGAAAATCTTAAAAATGCTAGGATAATGATTAAAAAAAAAAAAATTAATCAGAATATAGCTCTTCTGCTCCAGCTGTACTGCCATTTACATCTGTATGTGTACCTCCGTTATAGAGGGGAATCTTTGGATAATCTTGATTCTTCAAGAACAAGCTCATGGAGGCACCACTCATGGCTGAACCAGTCTGTCTCCTCTTCATCTCTATCCTCTAACCAAGATTTCGGTCGCCCGGTGTCCACTTCAAACCGAGCCTACATGTGCACTCCTTCTTCCAGCAAAGCACCTCCAGTGGCCACCTCTCAGAGAGCCCCCTCTGTGTCCCAGGCAGCCCCCCAGGCTCAGTCTCCTCTCTCTGCTTCCCAGACAGGTTCCCAGACACGCAGCAGGTGAGTGGGTGCCCTTCTGCTGGGAAGGTATAAATGTTGGGCTGCAATAGTGAGCAGACTTGGTGTATATGATGACCTACAGCAGTGATCTTGCCCATAACATTGATTAACAAGTCTGAAAATTACCTGAGTTTTCTGGCTGGGCAGGATGGTGAAATATGGGCTGGTATTACCTCCCTGCTCCAGTCATTCAGAAAATTTCCCAGGTTTGTCATCACTGTTTGGCATTGGTTAAAAAAAATAAAGGAACTGAATAATAAATCTGCAGCCTCCAAGCTGTATGTTGGTTACCAAAATGATTGTCTACTCCAGATGGCATTTCTGACATTTTATTTTCTTAGGTTTGTTCTAACAAAAGATTCCTGAAACCCATGCTTTTTTATGGCCCTCATCTTGGTCTCTCCTCCTCCCTTTCTGGCATGTGGTCAATATCATCTCAAGGAGCACTCAGGAATGCTCATAACCCATGACCCCAGAGAATTAGAGAGTAGGATGTTGTTTTTAATCTAGGAGGAGAAAGCAAGAATTGCAACATATTTTGAAACAAAAATGGAATTCAATTCCATTCCCACCATTGTGGTAGGGTAAATAACTGCTGGTTTATGTACTTGAAACATTTTAAAAATACCTTGAGATAAGACTGTGGAGACTCATCCCCACACAATTACATGTATTGCATGTAACAGCAGTCAGAACACTGATTTACTAGCTCTTACATTCTCAGGCAGTTTGTGATAAATTGGCTTTTTTTTTTTTTGTCTTTTTAAAGCTAGGCTCCTACATGCTTTATAATTGTAAGAAAACTACCTTCTTAACCATGTTTACTTATCTTGTTCTTACTTCCATTTGATAATTTCTCAGTAGATCTTTGGAATCTGACCTCTGTATGGCTTATGTTCAAAGAGTTAACATAATAGTATATGTATGGGACTAGCCTTCTGTTATCTAACAAGGTGCAGATGGTGGGACTTGGCAGGGGTGCTTGCAAAAACGTAGCCTTCAGGATAATTCCCCACAAATAATAAATAAGGCAGGAGCACAAAACTTGTGTTCTTGCTTTCCAAACTTAAGGATATGCTTCTTACGTTTATTTGTAGAAGGTATTGTAAGAAGGTGTTGTATACAGGGAATATTCCCAAGAATGTGACAGAATTTCTTTGTTCATTCCTATGTAATTTTAATCTAAATTATGACACTTCAGCTTTCCTTAGCTTTCAGACCTGCTGTAAATAATATTTTCATTTTATTTTTCTTTTAGTCCACTTTTTTTTACCAGTGTGTGTTTATTTTTAATCTCAGAAAGTTTTTGATAACTTTTCTTTATCTTTTAAAACTTTTCAAGCTGTTTTTAAGGATTTTCATTCTATATTTAGGTCAGTCAGTGGGAAGAAAATCTGTTCATACTGTAATAACGTTCTGGGCAAAGGAGCAGCCATGATCATTGAGTCTCTTGGTCTTTGTTATCATTTACATTGCTTTAAGGTGAGAGCTGGGAGTCACATCGTGAAGAACAGGATCTAATCAGGAGCACGCATGGCTACTCAGTGTTACGCTCACAGGGGCTCTACTAATCACTTGCTTTGCCTTCTACTCTTGGCAGCATCGTGCATGCATATTTCCATGAGGCAGTCCTATCCACAGGCATTTAGCACTCAACTCTAGAGTATTTCTTAAATGCCAGAGCTAACAAGTAGGACTTTGACAAGTAAAAGGGGCATGTTGACAGTGGGATCGGTCTTTCTTTTTTGAATAGGCAGCAAAAAATCAGAAGTGGCTGAAGCAGTTTTCCTGGAGAAACCAGGTCCTTATTAATAAATGAAAATAAATAAATAAATTCTTAGCCTACACCAACCCTGGCAATTGAATCATTTAAGGAGACCCATTGTTTCTAAGGTAATCCTAGCAAACGGTGTTCCCATGGTCAAGGGCATGTTGACAGCATTAACCTGGCAGGAAAAAACTCGGCACCAAACCAGAAGCAGTGTTTAGTGCTACTCAACACTCATCAGAATCTGCAGCACTGAGAGAGTTACATTATTTTTAGTCAGCTTGGGGTATACACAGACCTGAAAGAATAAATGCCTGACTGCAGAAGATGTTAAAATACTTCTAGTTCCCCTGCCTTAGCACCAGATGAGGAATTAGTCTCTGATTTGGAGGTGCTGTGGGACCCTTACTTCTTTTCATGGCTTTAAGAAAGAGACTTCTATGTCTGGTTCAGAACACTTCAGTAAACTAACTGTCCTTCTGTAGTCAGCTGAGTATGTTGCTTCATAAATTCAGTAAGGAGTGTGTTATGTTTTGGGTTACATTCCTTCCAGAGGTGGTTTGTGTTCACAGCAAATACATATTCAACCACCATAGTTAAATAGTTGAATGTTACCATGAAATCTATCCAAGCCCCTTATTCATCTGTTTACTCAAGAAGAATGAAATCAGCCCCTTCCCTCTAAATAAGAACTTGTTTCCAAGATGCAAACCCAGGAAATTGGGCATGCCTGAGTATTTGCTGCTTTGAGTGCCAAAGGGCTGAGGGCACTAGCAATGGAGAATGCCACATGGAAATCTGCAAGTAGCACACCCAGGTGTTCTGTGCCAAAATTGCTGTTGCCATCTAGAGAAAAAAATCTTTTTTCATGTCAAGCCAGTTTTAGTTTTCAGAGAAACTCAAGTTCAAATTAGATTTAATGCACTAATCTCTAAAAAATTGTCTGTTTGTTTGCTTAGTTGGTGTATCTCTGCTATTTGTTGTCCAGTTGTCACCTTAAAATATATTCTCAGGGTTGGCTGCATTTTAACCTACTAATTGTTATACATTTGCTTCTAGTGATTGTGGGTTTATGATTCAAGCTGCTTTGAGCTTAATCCAAGCTGCTTTTGAACAGCATTTTTGTTTCTTGATATTTTGTAAGGAATTGCTAATTATTCATCTGTCATGTAGTGTGTTGCCTGTGGATGTGACCTCGGGGGATCCCGCTCTGGAGCTGAAGTTAGGATCCGAAATGACAAACTCTTCTGCAATGACTGCTATATCAGATTTAAAAGTAAGGCAATCAAACTGCAGTGTGCATGGTCGTAACTGTTCTCTGTGCTGTTACAACCCCAAGCATTCGCGCAGCCCGAGCCGCTCAATAGCTTTCATGTTTAGCTTTAAGTTGGTATGTTAATTGAATACGGTTCAGCAAGGTTTGATTGCCAGTTTCTGTCTTTTGTAGGGTAGTCATTCCTAACTTGTAAGTTGTTGATAGCTGATTTTACCACCTTGTTATTGAGCAGCTCCACCCAGACAGCCTAGTCATCCTGCTTTCCTCCTAGATCTGATAAAGTGGTGTCAGGGAGTTGTCAGTTGTGGAGCAGGCTTGTCTTGATAAATCTTCTTGAAAAATTGTGTATATTTTTTAAAAAGTAATCTGAATATGTATTTAACTGAGTCCTGTTGCATACCTGGAAAGCTATTAGTTTATCCTGTGCAGGTGGCACAAATGCTGGTTTCTTTTCACGATGCTATTATTATTGGAATTATAGGTCTGTGATTGGTTATTTATTTAGGTTCAAGTTCAGGAGGAATTGGTTTACTTACAGATCTTAATTAAAAGGTGCAGTATAAATTTTTTCCTTTATTATGGTTTGCAGAATTCTGATTTATTGGAGCATGATGTGAAGGCTTTGAATAATGGTGCTGAGGGTTTATTTCTGCTGTCAAAGATGATGGTAGGCAACCTCCTGATTTTGACAAGTGTCAGGAGTTTTATATGACTGTTTATGTAGCAAATACAGAATTCTCTAGAATTATGAAATTCAGCAAAGGAAAAGCATTTCTGAATTACTTCCTGAGAAATAATGTCTGTGTTTCTTCATGAGCCCGGCACATTTTTCTCATGGTGGACCAGAAGGCAGTGAAGGGAACAGGATACTCCTGCTATAGCACTTGAGCAGGACTTGGGCACCTGCTGGCTGAGAAGCTAAGCTTGAGAAAACGGAGAAGCTCTGCATCTGATGCTGTTGCTGTTTTCAGGCTCTTTGGTTTCCAGGAAGAGGAAAAGCTGCCTGTGTCACAGAAGTGATTCTGTGGTTCACAGGCTAAAATCAGAAAACTCCACACCTCTCCTTGACACTAACTTTGCATTGACATAGGTTAATGTTAGGTGCAGGGATGCCACTGTGCTCAAGGAAAGGAGGAAGAGAATCACTCCCATCTGGGGGTGATCCAGAGCACTGGGTCATATCTCACTGAGATAATGTTCAGAGAATTTATCTCCTTGGTGATGACAAGACTGCACCAAAGTGACCATGTTCCTATTTGAAGCACCCAAACGTGTGGGAGACTCAGTCTGGAGCCTGCTCATGTTATTTTATCCTTTTCCTTTGAGGGCAAAAGTACTGGAAGAGTTGGAAAAGTACTGAGGGGAAAACAAAACAAAAAAAGTATCTTTTTTTTTTATTATTCTCTGCCAAAGCAACATTCAGGAATTTGGTGATGGCAGTAACCAAAAGTTTTATCATTAATAAATTGTTATTTAGTTTCTCTTTGACATTACAGCCCATAAAATCACAGCAGTATGTTTCAGAAGCAGAGCTGATCTGTGAGGAAACAGTTCTATTCCCTTCCCTTCAGACTGCATCTACTCAGGCCAGTGAGCACCTGAAAACATAGTCATATGAGATATAAGCAAATCGGGAATTGTGAGAACCTGTAGGTACAGAATAAAGTATTTAAATTAGTGATTAGCTATTTGAATAATACAAAAACCAGCTATGTTATTACTGCAATGAAAATATATTGGCAGCATAGCACTGGGCTGTGGTGCAGATTACTTTGCAATTGGCATTTGACAATCAGCCTAGCTTAATTATCTGTTAGTTTGGAATGTGAACATACTAGCTAAAAGTTTTGAAAAACTTTAGGATTGATATTTTTCACAGTGTAATTTTATGGTGTGATATTTTTTCACATTTTTATGTTAATTTTGTGGTTTAAATTTGGAACATAGTAGCGAAACGCCAGTTTATTGGCAGATGCCCACAAATGCCTGCAGAGAGGATAAAAAAGTTCTTTTAAAAATATTATTACAGTTATGTAGCAAATTTTAATTCTTGCAGGGTTAATTTAGAAAAACTGTCACCCTGTATCTATGCTAATACTAAAAATAATTCTTAAAAACTTGGTAAGGTGCATGTTCTGTGGAATATTACTTGGCCTGAAATACTTGCAGTGCTATAATTGGATTAAATTCAAATTTGTATTGTTCATTAAATTTGGATTGCTAGATTTGGAATGTATACCTTACTTTGTGTTACTGTTTTCAGTAGATACTGGAAGTACCATTATCTGACTGTTTCTAACCTGGACATTTTAATTCTTGTCATTAAGATTCTTCAGCAGTGAGACTTTAATTACAATTTCTGCTGTCTCTCTCAAACAGCTGGACAACCAACCTCCATGTGAAGCAAATGAAGATATGAAACCACTGTTGCAGATAAAAGAAGAGGTGATTGCTGCTGATGTAGATCTATAAATATATACATTGTGTGTATGTGTGTGTTTTCTAAGAGTAGCACTTGCTTGTCTAGTCTCCATAGCAATGCATTGTATTCTCTATATAACTATTTTTATTTATAAGGAAGTAATTGCGGTAAGGAAGTATCTGGGAAAACGCTTTCACTTTTTCAGCTTCAAATACTGAGAGCACAAGAGAAAATAAATATATTTTCATTAATAACTGCAAAATATTTTTGAGGCTTAGAATCAACTAGTTGGCTTTCCAATGGTATATGAAGAGGGTATTTTGTTTCTGAGCTCTTGAAATGAGCATTAGAGAAATAGCTTAATATAAATATATATTTGCAATTGCTGTCTTTATTTTTGACATATACTGAAAGTGAATTCTCTAGGTTAATATGAAGCTGCATTTAAATGACACAAAGGTGTTTGCTTTCCATATGCTGGTTTCTAAAATTACGTGCTTTTTTGGAACTTAAACACAAAGAATAATCTGTTTGCTCAGTGGTGTTGGCATAATATTCTGTGGAATCCATTTAAAGGGAAGAGTTCTCTTTTCCCAGTTGAAAAATGTAACTATCACTTTTCCCTCCACAAACAGAGTGGAGAATGGTTGTTGAATTACAGTATATTTGTAAATAAAATTTCTGATGTTGCATTTATGAGATTTTTTTTTTGTTCTTTCTATCTAGCTAAATGTGTCTAAGGTGATTTGCTGAAATACAAAATTGTTTGAATTTCATCTTAAGACAATATTTTTTATGAGAGGATTAGAATGGCCACCTAAATATGTGCGAGAACATGTGCTTTCCTCTCTTTCCCCTACCGTTGACATCAAACTCTGTTTATAGTTCTCCTGTCAAGCTCCTCATGCTTTTTCCCTTTAGCATTTAAAACAAGTGTTGAGAAAATTCTTTGTCCTGTATGCTCATCCCTGAAGCACAACTCTTGGAAGAGTTGATTATAATTTGATTTCTGCTGTGTCTAGAAATGAGGTGCTGAAAATATTTTGGGTTGGGCCTGCTCCTTCTGCAAATGCAGCTGGAATATGTGCTATGTGTTTTTCAGCAATGGCTCCCAAATTGCTTTGGTCAGTGGCTTCCCCAAATCCTTTCATGCCCAGTTACATACCCTTCCTTGGAAGAGGCAAAGAAAACATGGGATGTAGATGAGAGAAATTTGTGGGAGAATTTTGTGGATGAAACAGGAATAGGACAGTGTAGGAGGGGGAGGAGATGTAGGAAGCGTGGTGGCACTCTGTGTTTCAGCTGGTACGTGGCACCAAGAGGAGCCATGATGAGGGTGCTCTTTCCTCTCAGGAGATCTTGGGACATATAGGAGCGCTAGCAGACTCTGGGCAGAGGTTGTGATTGTGACAGCTGGGAGCAGCAAGGGAAGATCATGCTGTTACTTCATGTAGTGAGGAAACTTCGCCTGTGTGGGCCTCCTGTAACTTGTGCTTGTAACTCTGCGGATCCTGTTTTGCTTTGATTTATTGATCTTTCCGCTGAACATATGGGTTCTGCTTTGCACCAAGGAACTCCCTGCTAATAAATGCTGAATTACGAAGTACCAAACCTTCCCCCACACACCCCATTTTTGTTTAAAAAAAAAAAAAAAGTCTAAAATGCCTCATCAATCCAAAGTTGACAAGCTCCTTCTTCAGCCACTGGCTGTGACTTGATCACTTGCCGTTTTGTGACTTGGCCTTGGCTTTTGGTATTCATAGAATCATAGAATAGTATGGGTTAGGAGGGGCCATCAAAGCTCATCGAGTTCAACCCTGAATTCAGTTCAAAGCTCATCTAGTCCAACCCTCAGTTCACTTAAAGCGTCTCCTGAAAAGTTTCTGGTATTGTGGTAAGTAATGACATGGTACATCTCAGGTGAGAACTCTGTGATATGAAGACCTCAAATACAGACTATGGAGGGATATTCACACTACCTGCTCACACAGTTCTCTGGGAGGCTGGCTTCCTCTCTGCTGCTTGTGGAACAAGATTGCCCCAAATAAATTATGGGTACCCACAAATCCCCATCACCAGCCCTGAAACAGACACAAAATTTGTTTGTCACACGTTAAAGTTTCTCAACCTCCAAGGCATCAATGGATTTATCCTAGCCAATGCATGATTTCCCCTGTCCTGCAGTTGTGTTATGCAGCAAAGCTGAGGGAAAACGCAGGAATGGCCATGGTGTCTTTTGCATTTTGAGCCCAGTCATGTTGCCCTGTCCCTGGGAATCATTTGGGTGCAGAAATCACTTTAGGGTGAAGAATGGAGGGAGAAAAGAAAACTCGGCAACCTGCACTTTGTAATGCTGCTAGAGCTGTCTGACTGGAGTCCTGCAGCCTGGAATGACATGCTCTGAACCAGGCTGGCTTTTCCTAAATGGTGTCAGGTGTTTCCATGCAGGCTCCAATTTCATTTTCCCATAAAATGTCTCTGGAAAAACTAGATTATTTCATTAGCTTGTACCATATTGCTTGCCTGTGAGCAAGCAGTGAGTGGAATTTCACATTTAATGGTCTCAAAGAGCCGAAACTGAAAGTCTTGCAGAGCTGAAGCTGAGTTTCTCCCTCACGTTAAAAGCCTGGTTTAACAAGGCTCCTTTAAACCGCATTTGCTGATTCAAGTTGGCAAATGTGAGCAATAAAATCTCCTTCCTCCTCTCCATCCCCTGGATAGGAGTAGGCAAAGAAACCCACTTTACAAATGTGATATATGTGTATTGTGATTGTTGCTGAACTATTTGTTATCAGCAAAACCGATAATCTGCTTGCAACACAAGATGGCAGTGTGTAAGTGCAGCTTGTGCAATAAAAAGCCTTTTTCATGATTGTATACAAAAAAGGGTCACGTTTGCTAAATTATACTGAAGTTACAAAGTAATGAGAGCTGTAGAGAGAACTTTCTCTTAATCTTGGGCCTTTCTCCCCATCTGGCATGGTGGAGGCGTGATGTGTAACTGAATCTGAGCAATCTCATCGGGTTTTGTTTGCTGTTTTATTAATCAGCTGCTATTTAAAACAGTATTAAGCAGGAGTAGAGATGAAGAGAACATTTACCATACAGAAAAATAACCTGGATGATTTCTAGTAGAGGGTTTTGCTGTATTTTGTTGGTTTCTTTTTTAAGATGCTGTTCAAGGAAGAATCAATTACCCTCTCTCAGTTCATCACCTTTGAGCACTCTGTTTTAAGCTTAAAACCCTTAAATGCAGGTGTCTACAAGTGAGCTAGGCCTCTGCATTGCTATTAAAACCTGAATGAATTTAGAGCTGTGCTCTGTCCTGTATTCTGGTGTGTCTGGTGCTACTTGGGATGTTGTCAGCTGTCCAGGGCATCTGGACAGGAGATGGGGGGGTTGTGGTGCAAATGTGGGAGATACTCATGCAGCTGCCAGCACATGTCTCATGGGAGGCTTTAGAGCTTCTGAATGGGAAGCAGAGATTTATGAGCCAGTACAGAATCAAGCTCAACTGCCTACAGACAGTGGAACAAAGGTGTGATTTCATGGGCCAGTGAGTAGGTGTCTGCTGTCAGGTGAGGTATTTGTCCAAGCTTTACTGACCCTCGCTTGCACATAGGCACTTGCGTTTTTATACGCCTATGTTTAATTATCTTAATGCTGAATGAATTCTTCCCAAAATATCTGAAAAAGCTTTGATTCAGCTAAATCCTTCATCTATCCTATCTTGAGGCTTGTAGGCTGCCAGCTAATTGCTTCCAATGCACGTTTGTATATAACTTTGGAACTGAGTGGTCTATGGATAGTGGCTGTGACATGGGCAGTGTTTATAAATAAAGTGGCACTTCAAAAATAGAAAATGTTTTCTTCCAGTATGAATTCACTGTGGGTTTTCTCTAAGAGGTAAAAACGAAAGGATTGAGCATCTCGAAGTGAAACTCGAGGGATTGCACATGCTCTTAATTCTGTTAAGATTTCTTTAAGAAACTTTTTACAGAAGATTTATCAGAAACTTCAAGCTCAATTACCCATGCACTCTTCTCTTCAGGCAAGCTGCAGCACTGCAGGCAATGCTGGTTAGTGTCAAGATTTATGTTGGAGCCCAGTGTCTGAATTCAGAGCTCATGCTGATGCCAGAAATGGGCAGAGCCAGTCTCATTGTTTTCGGGAGAGTACCTCACAGATGAACCCTGTGGAAGGTCCAAGTGATAAGTTCAAAACTTCCCTTAGGTAACAGCTGTTGTAACATGGACCACCTTGTCACTTTACAGAGGGTAAAAGGGTTTGAAGTGTGACAACTTGAGCTTGTGAAAACTAGTGCGCTTGCAGCAGTGTTTTAAATTCCAACCAGTCATTTATAATGGATTAGCAAAACCTATGCTGTGGCTGTAATGGAAGGCTATTAGCAGCAGGCATAATTGCATGACAGAGCAGCTTCCTGCTGGAAGCTCTTCAACATTTTCAATTCGGCTTCATGCTTCCTGGGAGCTGGGGGCACCAACATAAAACAACACAGGTGGATGATGTAAAGCACTTGCTCACAAAAGGAAAATTCTAGGATGAGCAGTGGGGTATCAGTTTATTAAAGCTTGAAGAATTCTTTTAATTGGTTCAACCTACTGGAAACAAACTTGACAATTAAAGAGCTGCTTTAGGCAGCAAACACTCAAAAGACGTGTGTCGTGCGATGGGAATTAATAGCTTCTATGGGCTTGCCTTAACAGTCAACATTGTACAAAGAATAAAAGCACTTAACAAAACAAAAAAAGTACATGAAAGGGTGTGTGTACACACAGATTCTCTTTATTAGCTGTAATAGAAGAAAGAAAGAAAAAGCTAGGGCTGCTGGACAGTTCAATAAACACAATGTAGTAAGAACAGGCTTGTGGTCAGCACAGCGTGTGCCATCTTAAATGGCCTTTTACAAGTACCTGTGCTCTAGCAAGTGTTTCTGATTCCCTGAAGGGGAATTTTCTTTTTCCCCAGGCAGTCAACCAGATGGGCTATTTATTGGTGTGTCAATTGCACGTGGCCCTTCCAGGATGGAAACTCACAGATTTCAGGGTCAGATCAGGCTACTGCAATCATTTGACCTGCCCATATCCCTACGAAGATCAGAACCTCTCACCCAATAATTCCTGTATTGAGCACGGAACTTTGGTGTGAGCAACAGTGCTCTGTGTTGGAAAGGAGCCCTGTGCGGATCTGAAGTATGCAAATGATGGAGAATCAACCACCTGTCAACATAAATTTTTCCAGTGATTAATTAACACTCTTTAAAATGTTAATTTTATTTTTAGCTATTTTAATGAGCTTTCTGGCTTATTGGAATTTTATTTTCATTCATTTAACTTGATTAACTTAGTTTTTTTCTTTTTTCTCCCTTACGTTGTACATGTGACTTTGATGCAGTCCCTGTTTTCTTTCAAGTTTTCTTTCTTATACCTGTACATAAGGCTTATTTCTTATATCAATCAAAAAATGCAAGATTACTCCACTGGGAGGACCCTGAGACTCTCTTGGGAACATATCTAGAATGAAGGGGAAATAATATTTAAGAGCATTAAAAAAAATCTGAAGCTCTATAAGAATTTATTTGCATAATGCATAGGTTCAAATAAGAGCTTATGTCCACAAGGGAATTTTGCTGCATAAAATTTTCTGTCATAATTAGTGAGGCATTGAATTG